TGCAGTCCCACCAGCAATGCAGGAGTGTCCCAGTCTCTCCACATCCCCACCAGCATTTATTGTCCTCTACTTTTTTCATCTTTGCTGTTATTGTTAAGACCTGTTTTCTAATCTGCTGATCCTCTTTCTTTCCAACCTTGGCATCCTAATCACTAGTAACTATCAATGCATCTTAATTGCATGTTTGATCAGTTTCAGACTAAAGAAGTTAGAACTCTTCAGTTTCATTGAGTGGTTGGTATGTAAATTTCAAATCCTGATGGCGTAGGTTCCAGCATCCGAACAACACACGAGTCACTGCAGGATGAGAAACTGTCGTAGCATCTGTCACATCAGCAGTACAGATGGGAGACAGTGGTCTGAGCATAATCAGCGGTGAGGCCATTGGAGGGCAAAGCCGGCCAAGTCCAGGGAAGGAGGGCTGAGCACTCCTAAGCCCACATGGGTTGTGTTTAAGAAAGACGGCAGAGACTTAGGAACTGAGAGAGTTGGAACAGGTTCCCCTTGCACAGGGACAGGGACACTGTGACAAGTGGATTTGGAAGCTCTGCCTGCCTAGCTTAGCCTGGTCGGTGCTAAGGAGTTTTCCCGAATAGTTTTGTGTGTTCCCCTGACCACTGAGATGGTCCGCATAGGCACAGGATGCACCTTATTTGTTGCGGTCATTTTCCAGATCATGCCTTGTTGCCTTGCATTCTCTTCCCTCCCCCAGAGATTCACGCAGAGCATGAAGCTGGACAGTGAGCTGGGCCGCCTGACCCTGGAGCACGGAACCATGCAGGGGCCACCCACAGAGGCCGAGCGTGCCGTGGAGAACACTCGGAAGAAGCTTGCCAAGAAGGTGTGTGCCGTGCTATCCAGTCAGACAGCTGCAGCCCCACAGACGAGCCTCCACCAGCTGCTCCCTCGGGTTTATAGATGACGCCCCACCTCAGCTCTGCCTCTGCAGTGGGCGTCTGGGCAGGGGCTGCACAGGGGTTCCCACATAGGAGAGGCCCTGGTGAGGTGAGGAGGCCACCTTGCTTCTGTTGCTAGCCAGGGTTAGGAGGAGGGCAAAGGTCCTCGTGGCTCTGGCTCCTGGCTGCCTTGGGCCTGTGGGACAGGTACTTACGGGCCACGAACTCGAGAGCCTTCACAAGGTCTGTCAGCCCATCCCATGACAGGTCAGGACTCGTTCCTCAGCTGGGTGGGCAAGCTTGGACTCAGGGTACCCTCCGCTCCTCCCTCAGCACCTGGCCGAGCACATGGACGCACCACAGGTGACGTGTGGCTTTGAGGCCACCATCAACAAGTTTGACAAGAACTTCTCTGCTCACCTCCTCGACCTCCTGGCCCGGCTGAGCGTCTACAGCACCAGTGATTGTGAGCACAGCATGGCCAGTGTCATCTCCAGGTGGGGGTCTGGGGGCAGGGCCAGCGGCATCTCCAGGTGGGGGCCTGGGGGCAGGGCCAGCGGCATCTCCAGGTGGGGTGGGAATGGAGGACCAGGACTTAAGGGAATGAAGACAGTGCCTGTGGGGACATCTGGAGTGGGTCTGAGAGGGAGGGCCTGGGCCTCCCCTCCTGTCCAGGTTGGTTTACCACCAGAGAGCCTCCCTGCTGCCTGGCTGCCTCAGCCAGGAGAGCTGGAAGTGAAGATGGTGAGCTGTTGAGCCTGGGTCCTTGTGTGGGAGGGTGGCCTGACCTACCAGGACCCTGGGGCCCTCCGCAGCAGTTCTGGTATAGAGGGTTTGGGGTGCAACCTGTCCTGGGACAGGTGTAGATTTGCGGCAGGGTCTGTGTCTGAGTATCTGGCCCTGCACCTGTCTGACGGAACAATGGGAGGGGGCACACAGCCTCACCCTTGCCCAACTGAACTAAAAGGGAGCAGGTGTGGGGCGTGCTCACTGTGGAAGCAGGGGGCCATCCGAAAGGGGGGGGTCCCTTACCCAGTTTAGAGGCCTTGTGTTTACTGAGCATTGTGTCTGGAGACACATTTCTGCTTCAACTTCTAGAGTTCTGGGTTCTGCTCTGTGTTGTAACTCCTGGGAGCTGTGGTCACGCTACTCCGGGGGTGGGGTCATGTGCCCAGAGTGACCACACTGCTGAGCTCTGTCCACGCTAACAAAGCACCAGCCACAGAAGGTGGGACTCAAAAGTGGGGGCTCCTCAGTGGAGAACCCCTGTTTACCAGAAGGGGTGGTCTTGACTTGCTGGCATCCTCCCTCCCACTCCCCAATGCCAGGCTGGATTTCAACGGCTTCTACACGGAACGCTTGGAGCGCCTGTCTGCAGAGAGGAGCCAGAAGGTGGCCCCCCACATACCTAACCCGAGGGGACCACCAGCGGCATCTGTACCCAGGATCCCAGTTGCCGCCCAGTGAGCCCTTGAGCCCGGATGTGGGGGACTGGCTGGGGCTGCTGGCCTGTGGGTGGCTACTGACCCATTCACTGGTCTTTGCTTTTAAGCGCTTGTCTTGCTCTTTGCTGATGTTTTGGTTTCAAATAAAGAGAAAATGACAACACATGGCCTTGAGACAACAGAGGGGTGACGGAGGGGGGAGGGAGGGTTAGAGTTAGGGTTAGAGCTTAGAAGAGCTTACTGAGTCCTTCTGCAGCCCACTGGGCACTAGGGGGCAGTGCAGGCCTGTGTAACCCCCAGTCTGCAGTCAGTAGTTGACCGAGGGGCAGAAGGCCAATCATCTTTGCAAGGTGACCAGTGAGCAGGGGAGGGAGGGGCCAGGTGTGGCAGGGTCACCTGACAACTCCTCACCATGGATGCATCTGTAGTTTGTATGTCTCTGATATGTCTATGTGTGTGCACAGTCTGTGGTGTATGTATGTGTATGCTACATATTGTGTGGTATATCTTTGTGTACATTGGGGGGGACATTGTGTGGTGTATGTATCTGTTTGCATAGCTGTTGTATGTTTGTGCAGTATGTATGGGTGCATAGTCCTAGTGTGGCACTGTGGGTTAATGCACCAGACTGTAAAGCCGTTTGAACTGCAAGGTCGGTGGTTCAAGCTCACCAGCTGCACCTTGGAAATCCTATACAGGGTCACTATGGGTCAGAACCTACTCAACAGCACTTAACAACCACAATAGCATAGTCTATGTAGTTTGTGTGTCTGTGAGGTATAGCTGTGTATGGTGTATGTGTGTCTGTACATTGTGTGTGTGTTGTGTGGTTTCTGTGTATACTTAGTCTCTGTGTGTTTATGTCTGTGTGGTGTATCGTATATGGTGTATGTGTGTCTGTACATAGTGTGTGTGTGTGACGTGTGTATACTTCATTTGTGTGTGTTTATGTGTATGTGGTGTATCTGTGTATGGTGTATGTGTATCTGTACATAATGTGTGTGTGTGTGTGTGTGTGTGTGTGCGCGCGGTATGTGTGTATACTTGTCTGTGTGTATGTGTTTTGCCGTGTGGACTAGCTCACAGTTACCTTGACTACCAGGAGGGGCAGGATTCCACAGACACAAACTACTTCTGGTCCTCTTCCCACAGCATCACAGCAGGCCCCTGTGTCCCCCCGAAACCAGAACACTTGTGTCCCTCCCAGGCCAGAACCCTGTTGTCCCAACCAGCTCAAAAACTCATGTCTGCCCCCCACCCCACACACACCAGAAACATTCTGTGTCCATCCCTCACTGCATCCCACCAGAAGCCCCATTTTACCTCAGTACCATGATGTCTTTGTGTTTGGGACACCCACGACATGAGTGAGTGTACCCACTGCACCTCGAGTTTGCAGGTGGCTGTGGGAAAAGGGAGCTGAGGTAGGGCACCCAGTTTGGGTGCCCTGTGGGTTGGGGAGCCCCTGCCCTGTGGGAGTTCTGTGAAGTCCGTGATGGCAGGGGGCCTGACTCACCATCCACCCTACCAGTAGGCTGCTACTTCAGCTTCCTCAGCTTGGTCACACCCAAAGAAATGGTCTTTTTGCCTCTTGTTTTGAGTAGTGCATGAGGTGGTGGTGCCTTTGAGCTTGGAACGGTCCTCTAAGAATGAGTAATGAAGTTGCCCCGCAGACTTCCTTTCCTTTACACAGCACTGTTCCTGTCAGCTACTAAAGCCTCAAATCAGGGCTGCGGTGGAGGAGCCAAGGTGCCCTGCCCTCTGCCTTGAGCCATCCCTATCTGAACTTCCCGGGGGAGAGGGACAGTGCCTGCGTTAGGGTGGGGAACGGAGGAGGGAGACTGGGCACCAAGTGACCTCCTGGCCATAGATTTTCATCCACATAAACGGGTGTGGGCCCTGCAGGATGACCCAGCTCTGCACACTCATCCCCGCGATGCGAGGGAGGCTCCTGCCGAACACCTGGGACTAAAGACGGCGCCCCTCTTCGGAGGACGTCCCCTCCCCCATAGAACGGCCTCCCCCGAGGACGTGGATCTGAAACTGACCCGGGATAAGGAGTCCCCGATAGGGTAGCAAGCGAGGGGCCTGCACGGGTGGGAGGTGGCACCCCACCCGACAGTGCTTAAGGTCATAAAGGAGGTGTGCTGGGGAAAGGGGTCACAAATAAGGTGGGCAGGGGAAGTCATTCAGAGGGCGGGGCAGAGTAACCCCGCCCAGCCGCCCGAAGAGCCGATTGGCTGCGGGGCTGGGGCGGCTCTTGGGGCGAGGCCCCGTGGGAGAAGAGGCCCCGCGGGGAGTGCCGGGGACCAGACCCAGTCCAGCCCGGAGCCACTTCCCCGCGCGCCCTGCAGGACACCCCGGACATCCCGCTTCCATTCCCTACCCAGGACGATGCGCGGCCCCGGCCTTGGGCTCTGGCTGTCCGGCGCGCTCTGGCTGCAGGGTGAGGGCTCGCTCCGCGCGGGATTAGAGGGCGCTCTGTCTGTGCGCGGCCACCTGGCCTTCCCTGAGCCCCGCCCGTGCGCCGACAGGTTCCTGCGAACTTGGGGCGCGCAGATGCAGCGGTTCAGGCGAGCGGAGTAGGAACCTTCCAAAGGAAGCTGCGAGCGCAAACCGGCCTCGCGGGCGCTTCCCTGAGCTCGTGGTCCTGAAGCGGGGCGCCGGCGGACCGGGCTGAGGGCGGCTGGGGCTACTGCACCCGCTGCCGGCGGCGCCCTGTCTGGGGAGTCTGTTCAGCCCCACTGGGACCCCAGAGACGGCAGAGTTGTGGAAACGGGCGAGAGCGTGTGCTTGAGCCAGGGGCTGGGGGGCTGGCCCCATGGGGAATAGTCTCCTGCTAGAGCATGGAGGATCTGGTCAGCTGCCATCCACCTTCTGGTTGGTGACTTTGTGAGGTGGCGGAGTGACGGGGTGCTTCTCAGATCTGGGTGGGCTGGACAGCCTTCCTGGCAACCCCTCCCTACTGGAGGATTTTGCCCAGGGTATCTGAACCCTTCAGGGGGCGCCATCGCCCCATCGGTGGGCTGTCTTTCCAAGTCCCCCTCATTCTTTATCTCCGCCCCCATGTCTAGTTGGACCAGCAGGGGCTTTCCACTGCCGCTATGGGGCTTTTCAGTTCCCCCCCTAGATACCCGGAGGGGCTTAGTGCTGTGGTTAGGGGAAGGCTGAAAATTCAGTGCCTATGAGTGGGAGTGCCCAGAGGTGGGGCGATTCAGGACACTTCCTCAAGTTTCTGGTAGGTGAGCTGCTGAGAAACTTCCCCCCCACAGGTAGAAGAGGGGGGTTATGTCCAAGGGAAGGAGAGGCCTCCAGCCTTGCTGACCCCCTGCTCTCTCACAGTGATGGCCTTGGGTCCCCCCTTGCCCCATGTGGAGCGATTTCAGGTGGTGTGGCCCCAGCGCCTGCCAACACCCAGAGCCCGCAGGGCCCTGCCCTCCCACTGGGTAAGTCTGGGCAGGGCGCCATACAGCCCTGGGGGCCTTGTTTTCACCTGGGACGAGGCATCCGTAGCTCTGTAAGACCTGGGCCTTTGGGGCTGCCCCCACACGGCTCTGGGAGAGATTAGGGTTGAGAGTCGGTCTGTCCTTGCTCCTGGGTGACCCCTTCCCCCACCCCTCCCACGTCCCTTCTTTCTTCCCCCTTGGGGCCAGCATCATCTACTGAGTGTGGGCCTGGACGGTGGGGTGGCTGGACTGCTGCACTCCAGGGCCCTCACCTGCCCTGTCTTTGTTAGTGGCTCTTACCAAGGTCAGCCCAGGGGCGACCTCTGGGGGAAGGGGGCAGAGAACTGCAGGTTCAGAGACCACACCCCAGTTTCACTTGGCTCGGGTTCCTCTCTGACTACCAGGGACACCTCACCGCAGGCGGGCGGGTGGCTGTGAGTTGGCATTGACGCACCTTCCTGGGGGCACTTGGGGCTGGGGGGATCCCCCAGGGCTGGGGAACTTAAGAAGGTTGTTACTGCTCTCGTCAAAGGGGAGAGGAACCCTAAATCTTGGGGAACCAAGATTGCCTGGTGGGTTGTCTCTCAGACTTGGTTCCTGAAACTGCTGTGAGTGTGGGTGCATGGGTGTGGTGTGTGTGTGAGTACATGTGAGCACACATGTGGGCTATGTGTGCACCTCTGCCCACTGTATGTATGTGTGTGCTTACTGGACTGTGGACATATCCGTCCCCACCTTGGGCCCAGTGAAAAGACAGTTGTGGCAGGGAATGGCTTCACCTTGTCCAGTGGGTGTGGGCTACGATACTGTTGAGGGTGGTCAGCAGGCCCAAGCTAACTGGACACTCGGGAGAAGGATGGATAAACCGAGGCCTTCCCACCACCAGCCTAGCCCAGTCACCCTGAGAGTCCTCAGGGCTTTGAACCATGCTACTCCCTGTAGGGCAGCCTGAGTTAGGGGAGGTGGCAGCTGACCCCTGACTCAGACTCCACTCTGCTCCCAGAGCCAGTACCCAGATAGTGTGAGCTACATTCTTTCCCATGGAGGGCACAACTTCACCCTGCATCTTCGGAAGAACAGGTGAGCTGGGGCCAGGCCCGTAGGTCTCACCTGGATAGCCCCTGTGTGTAGGTACACCTCGGGCCCACACACCTGAATCCTGAGTTTCCTTGGTGTGCTGGGCGCCCTTGGTGTCTTAGGGGGCCTACCTCTCCTCCCACTGGGGTCTCAGAGAGGGACAGAGGTGGACCAGGACACCGAGCAGCTCTTTTTCAGGGAACTGCTGAGCTCAAGGTACACAGAGACCTACACGGCCGCCAATGGCTCCGAGGTGGTGGAGCAGCTGGGAGGGCAGGTACCTGGTCTGGGGGGACTCCCTGAGGTCTGGGGAGGAGCAAGGCCCCAACACAAAGCCACTCACTACCTCGTTCCTCTCAGGATCACTGCCTCTACCAGGGACATGTGGAGGGACAGCAGGGTTCAGCTGCCAGTCTCAGCACCTGTGACGGCCTCAGGTGGGAGCCAGAGAAGAGGGCCTGACCCCGTCTCTTCCCTGTGATTGGGGTTCATGCTCAGGCTCTCCCGCCCAGAGTCTCTGGGCCAGCAAGGGGCTTCCCCACTGCTCTAGGGGAGGAAGCAGGAACACATCCCTGATACCACCCTACAGCTGACCCTCTGCCCTCAGGGGCTTCTTCCAAGCAGGCTCAGCTGTCCACCTGATCGAGCCCCTCAAGGGGGAGGAGGAGGGCCCACATGCCCTATACCTGCCGCAGCACCTAAAGCAGAAACGAGGCACCTGTGGTGTTAGCAATGAGCGCCTGGAACGCATCCTAGGGCCGAGGGTTGCAGCGGCCTTCAGGCCCCGAGTGAGTGGCCAGTTCATGCACTATCCCCAGACACCATGTGCTCTCCTTTGGCCAAGGGCCTTGTCTGCCATCCCCTGGTCCTGGAGCTGATGTCCTTGATCAGCCCACCTCCCCAGCACAGTCCAGGGTTGAGATGGGCTAAGGAGGGCACAGTCTGTGGCTCATAGCTTCTTGTCACCTGCAGAATCGACCAGTGATCCCAGAGCCTCGGCACGTGGAGCTGTATGTGGTCACCGACAGCATTGAGGTGAGGACAGGTGGGCAGGGTGCATGCACACAAGTGAATGGGCGGGCTGGGCAGGCTGGACTCCGGTCTGATGGCCTCTGTGCTTCAGTTCCAGAAGTTTAAGAGCCGGGAGACGTTGCGTGCGCGAGTGCTGGAGGTGGTGAACCATGTGGACAAGGTGGGTCATGCCTGCTGCACTCAGGGCAGGGGTCCCCCTCACAGAGGGTCCCCTCCCAGACCTGCCCCCCCTGCCTGATTGAAACCCTAGTTTAGAGGCCATGGGGGGCACCCGGGAGGCAGAGTGGAGTGGACACAGTCACCTCAGATGCTGCTGATTCTCCACTGGCCAGTCCACCTCCAGACCTGACCACCCACAGGGCCTCTGAGGCCCAGCTGACATGGGCCTGGCTCCCTCATAGCTGTACCAGGAGCTTGGCCTCCGCGTGGGTCTGGTGGGCTTGGACATGTGGAGCAGTGACAAGATCCTCATCAGTTCCAACGCCGAGGTCACACTGAAGAGCTTCCAGGCCTGGCGGACGCGGGAGCTTGTGGGACAACATTCCCATGACAACGCTCAGCTCATCACGTGAGAGAGAGGGTGCAGGCTGAGGTGGGTCTGGGGTAGGCCAGGCTACGAGGACCCCCACTGACACTGTCTGCTCTAGGGGGATCGACTTCGACGGCACCACTGTGGGCCTGGCCTCTCTGGCCTCCATGTGTTCCCAGAGGACTTCGGCAGGCGTGAACCAGGTGTGCAGGGAGGGGCTGGGACTGGAGCACAGCAGACAAGACCCGTAAACAGGCCACAGGGGTGGCCGAGGTCCCTGTCTGAGAAGCGGTGTTGGCAAGAGGGAAGCGAGGCCAGTGGAACCCGAATGAGCAAAGCCCCCACTCCACAGGACCACAGCCAGAGCCCCCTTGGTGTGGCAAGCACCATTGCCCACGAGATGGGCCACAACCTGGCCATGGACCACGACGAGAACATCGACACCTGCTACTGCGCCGTGCCGCCCTCTAGTGGCGGCTGTGTGATGGCGGCCAGCCTCAGGTGAGGCCCTAGTGGAGTGGGTGGCATGTGATGGCGGCCAGCCTCAGGTGAGGCCACAGCGGAGTGGGGCGTGGTGTCTGCCCATGACCTGGACTTAGGGGTGCACATGCTTGTCTCTCAGCTTCGAGTTACCCAAAAAGTTCAGCCAGTGCAGCCGCTCAGTCTACGAGTCCTTTGTGGAAACTCCGCAGACAGAGTGCCTGCGAGGCATGCTGAACCCCAACCTGCTGGTCAGCGACCCCGTGTGTGGGAACAAGCTCCTGGAACGTGGAGAGCAGTGTGACTGCGGCTCAGCCCAGGTGCTGGGGGGCACGGGGGTCAGGCTGGGGGAGCTGGTCCTAGGAGCGGAGGTGCCGCAGGGTGGCAGGGCTACTGCTGGGGGGCCGAGCGAAGGGGGACTTGGAGTTCTAGCAGGAGTAGGTCTTTGGGAGCCTGGAGGCCATCCACACCTGCTGAGGGGCACAGTGCTGAGGGGCTACTAAGGAGGACACCCCCTCCCTTCCCAGGAGTGCCAAAACCCCTGCTGTAACGCCACCACCTGTAAGCTGACCAAAGGAGCCGCGTGTGCCCAGGGCGCCTGCTGTGACCAGTGCCAGGTGAGCCGAGTGGGCCTTCCCCTCAACTCTCAGGACCCCTGGGCCCCACTCATCGGCAGGGGAGGGGAAAGGGAGTGGAGAGGCCCAGGACATGCTGACCTCAGGCCTCCCCTTCCATCTGGCAGGTGAAACCAGCTGGACATTCGTGCCGTAGCCCCAAGGACGCATGTGACCTCGAGGAGTACTGTGATGGCCAACGGTCTGAGTGCCCAGAGGACGTTTTCCAAGAGAACGGCTCACCTTGCTCAGGGGGCTACTGCTACGACGGGGCCTGCCCCACACTGGACGAACGGTGCAGCAAGCTGTGGGGGTCAGGTGAGGCCACAGTGCAGGCCCAAGGTAGCCACTGGCCAGGCCAACTGGCCTCCGCTCACCTGCCCTGTTCCTTCAGGTGCCCAGGTCGCTGTGGATACGTGCTACACCTATAGCCTTACCATGAGCTGCCAGGGCCAGAACCACCCCAAAGGCGGGTGAGTGTCAGGGGGTGCCACAGGGCGGGGACCCCAGCCCACGTGTGCATTGGCACACATACATAGGCATGTGCATGTCCATAGCAGTGCTACTAGGGACATATGCGCCCATGTGTGTGAGGGAGCCCCCACCTTGTGTGTACATGTGTGTGAGGGAGCCCGCACCTTGTGAGTACATGTGTGTGAGGAGCCCCCACCTTGTGTGTACATGTGTGTGAGGGAGCCCGCACCTTGTGTGTACGTGTGTGAGGAGCCCCCACCTTGTGTGTACATGTGTGTGAGGAGCCCCCACCTTATGCACACATGTATGTGGAGGGATCCTGTAAGGTGTATACACAGGGGTGCCACTAGAAAGGGGTCTATGTGGGGGTGCCCCAGGGGAATGTTCCTTGAGGAGTCTGCTCTCTAGGGATTCCCCCTGTCCCTCATGGGAGGGAAGTGAGTCTTTGTGGCTAAAAGAAGTATGGACACTCACCAACAGCCCCAGCCACCCACTGCCTCCTCTGAGAGGCCTCGTGCATGCTGGTCAGGGCCCCGGATGCCCCTCTATCCACAGCGTTGACCTGTGTAGTACCCTGTACTGCCAGGGGGGGCAGAAGCCTCAGGAACGGGGCTCGTGTGTCATGAAGCCCAGCGGTGCTCGCTGTCAGGCCCTGCTCACAGAAGACGCCACTGCCTATGAGCGTGTGCCCACGGGCACTAAGTGTGATGAGGGCAAGGTGAGTGCAGGGGCCGCCGGCAGAACCAGAGTCAAATTCAGCACTCCTAGTGGGGGGTGACTGCCTGGGACCACCCCTGCCTCCCTGTGCCCCAGGAGGGGAGCAAACATGACCCCCCTCCCCCCAAGAGTAAGGAGCCCCTGCCCTCTAGGTTTGCTGGAAAGGAAGCTGCCAGGATCTGCAGGTTTACCGGTCGGACAACTGCTCTGCCAAGTGCTACGGCCACGGGGTATGTCTGGGCCCCTGTGACAACCTGTCTTGCCTGAGCGGGGCGGGGGTGGGGTGGGTGGCAATACAGGCACACCTGAATGGACAGAAGGTGGAGGCCCAGCCTCGGGCACAAGCAGTCAGGTGCTCCACGCTGCCACAGCACCTGGACCATCACACCTGGAAACCAAGAGCAGGTTGGCTAGTGCACTAGTTGGCATGTGGCCAAGCCTTCCAACTTCCACGTAGGCCCACACACACACTGTTCACCCATTAATGCACATGAGTGCAGCCAGGTCCCCACAGAGAATGCTGCACGCACAGACACGTGTACACTGCACACTACTTGGGTACATGCACATGCATGCACACTCTACACATCCTACATGTGCACATGCCAACACAATACATATACACACTCAACATGCTACATATGGGACATACACATGATGCAAGGCATTACATGTGTACATACAGACACAGTACATGTACACACACTGCACACTGCACTTTAGCACACACAGTATGCACAGACATTACATGTGCACATACAGACACACTATGTGTTCACATGCTACACGTTTCCTACATGTGTGCATGCACACTATACACAGACACCCTATACTTGTGCATGCTATACACCTTACATGTGTGCACATACTATACATGGACATTACATGTGTACACAGGCACAGTACATGGACACATGCTATATGCATATACACACTATGCACAGGAATGTGTACATGGTGGCACAGTACATGTAAATGCTACATGCTAGACATGAACACATACATAGTATGCACTGACATTACATGTGAACATCTTAGACACAGTACGCACAGACACACTCTACATGAGCACATAAGACACACTATATATGCACATGCTACACATACCACATGTCTGTGCGCACACTACATGTAACATATGCACAGGCACCCGTCACTGTACATATGCCTCCATGTTACACACAAGTTACACATGCACACACACTGCACAACACAGTATGTGTACACACACAGTACACAGACACAGTACATGTGTCCACATGTTACACACAAACCACATTTGCATGCACTACACAACACACAGTACACAGAGACACAATGCATGTACACACATGCACATAGCTGCACACACACTCATTACCCACATACCTGTGCACACACTACACGCACACATTGGAATGTACACATGTCCCTGGCTTATCCCGCCTTCATCTACTTCTCTCCAGGTATGCAACCATAAGAACAAATGCCACTGCCAACCGGGCTGGTCACCACCCAACTGTGCCAAGGCCGCCAGCTCTGATGTGCAGACAGGTAGGGCCTAGGGTGCCCCTGTAGCTTACGGTGCAGGTACCCCCACGCGAGGAGAAACATACTAGGGCCTGTGACAAACTGGGGACCAAGGGCTGCGCTATGGGGGTGTCAAAGGTCCAGGTGGGCCCCAAAGTCCCACCCCACCTTGGTCCTACACACAAGGTCCCTGGCGAGATGGGAGGGCAGTGAGAGAGGGCTTCTGGGTCTGGATGAGGCTCCCAGAACAGCCCTCAGCTGCTCTACAGGAACCTACCCCACAAGTGTCTTCCTCCCCAGCCACCAGCCACCACACCATAGCCTCCACGGCAGGCCATACCCACGTGACTGGGGGCCTGGGGCCAACTGCAGCCCAACCCTCCGACCTGCTGCCACAGCCCCCGGAGCACTGGTGTAATGTACCTGTGTCTACTGTTGGGGTCTTGGACAGGGCCTGGATATGGGGGCTGCTGCCCGCTCCCAGGGAGCCAGCTCGGTTTGGAGGGGCTCAGCCCAGATGGGGTCTATGCCCAAGCCCCTTGCCATGGGGCTAGGCCCTGGCCCCTAGGGAGGGATTGCTTCTCCTTCTCCTCGGACCTCACTCACACAAGGTCATGGTGTGTCCCTGACAGCGTCCGGGGGCGTGTCCACAGAAGTCCTGGTGGGTGTGGCCTTGTTACTGCTGGCAGTGGTGTTCCTTCTGGGAGGCTTCATCTTCTACCGCAGACACAAGAGGTGACATAGCCCTATGCTACAGCGTGTCAGTGTGGGTACATGCCTGTGTGGGGGCCCAGGGCTGCCTATGTGTGCATCTATCGTATGTGTCTGCGTGTGTGTGTACGGTGTGGTGTGTGCGTTTGCACAGTACACACGTGTGCATGTGTGTGTTCTTTGCATGTGTGTTGTGTGTGCACCATGCATGGTGCTGCCGCTGGGGAGAGGAAGATCAGCATAGGCGGGGGCTGCCTTCTTTAGACCTCCTGGGCCTGCCTGTCCTGGGGCTTGGACTCTGCACGTTCATCCAGCCCTTAGCTCTGGGCCCCTGGCTCTAAGGCATGAAGGGGCAGGTCACGGGGCCGGATCAGTCCCAATGGCTGCTGTGACCAAGACCAAGACCAGATGGAGACCTTCTCCCCGTCATCCTGGAGGTTGGGAGTGAGACCACTGTGCTTGGGGGGGCAGGGCCCTTCTTCCCCTCTGCCAGCTCTGGTGCCCCACAGTCTGCTGGCATGTGGCTGTCTTTTCTGTGTGACTCTCTCTTCTCTCCTCGATGAGGGATTACCGCCAACTACAGTGTGCCCTTCCAATGACCTAACTGCTCACATCTGCAGAAACACTACTTCCAAACGTACTGTCACATGCACAGGTCTTGGGGTGGGACTTGCCCACATATTTTGGGGGTCACAGTTGGACTCCTAGTGGAAACTTAAATGCAAAGAAAGACCAGACAGAAGCCCTGTGGTCACATGACAGGAGTGATGTCAGCACACAGAGGGGCTGCTTGGCACCTACAACACACCTGACCCACCTGCCCGGAGTGGACAGCCCTGCTCCATGTTGGCCTGACCGCACCTCTTCAGGTTTACCAGGGCAGCAAGCATCTGAGGACTTGCCCACCAACTGAGCTGATGCTGCGAGCCCCCAAGCCCAGAAGCCTCCTGGGGGCCTGGCTAAGCCATTGATGCCAGCACACTGCTGACCATACACTCCTTTCTTCCTAGGAATGCGACCACGAAGACGGCCATGGGGCTCGAAAACCCCGTGTTCCACAAGGGGAGCAGTGGTGCACTAGGGAAGAGCAGTGCTGTGGCCCCCAAAGCCTCCCCTTCCCAGGCCCCAAGACCCTCGGCTTCCATGGTGACCCCGAAGCAGCCACCCCCTCTTGTAAACAGCATGTCCCCCGTGGGTTTAGTGAGGTTGGAATACAGAGACAAGGTCCCATAGTCCATCCTGGGTGGTTCTGGAATCATGCCCCTGGAAGGTTCTGGAAGCCTGTTGTCATTCCTTATGAAGCATGCTTCCCTGTTCCCTAGGAAGCCCCCCAAGACTGAGGCAGACCCCCCAGTGCACACACATGGCTGTAGGAAAGGCAGAGAAACCTCAGCTCCTAGTGCTGGGGTGGTGGTGGGAGCTTGTGGGGGGGCGGGGTGTCACTGCCCCCTGGCCAGCCCCAGAAGTGGGCACTCAGCCACCCCTTTCCCTGCAGCGCCCTGCCACCACAGCCAGCCAGCCTGTCCCGGTTCCCGTGTACACGAGGCACCAGGAGCTAGAGCAGGTGAGCCGAAATGCTCGGCCCTGGGAGGCAAAGTTTGGGTGGCTGGTTTCGGGGCCCATCTGGGAGGTGCTGATTGGTGGTGCGGGACCAAGTGTCCAGGAGCCAGGAGCAAGGTGGAGGTGCATCCTCCAGGCCATTCCGAGGTTCTGGGGTCCAGGGCACCTGGGGCATTGGAGAGTCAGGTGGGCATGACACTCCCATTTCTTCCAGAAGCTCAGGCCGGCCCCTCCTACCAAACCCCTCCCGGAGCTGAAGCCTCAGCAGGTGAGAGATTTCAGGGACCTTTACCCCTGGCTGCTCCTGGTGTCCCTGGGCTTGCCGTAGGAACACCTAGGCAAGACTTGGACTTCAGCCCCAAAGGCCAGGTGGTCCACTTTCCCATGTCCTCTTCCTTTGGGGGTTCAGAGAAGATCTCCCTCAAAATGTGAATACTGGAGCCTTGAGCAGGTTTGGCTTATTTACAAGCCCTCTTCTAACCCCTTCACTGCACCCCAGGCACCATCCCGCAGTCCTGGGCTTACCTCTGCCTGTCCCTGAGGGCAGGGTGGAATAGGTCCCTGCTGAGAAACCCAGCCTCCCGGCACTCTGGTTTCGTCATCAGTGGCCCCCCACAGCCCTGTGGGAAGTGTCTCAAAGGCCCAGGGGGTGGGACAGCATGTTTGCCTCGTGGTGGGCACCTGGCCCGGCTGCTTCCAGCAATAGGGCAGGAAGAGCCTGGGGCTTTCTCCTGCAGGGCCTGGCACGGGTTCCAGCTGGCCACGTCCCTGTCCATCCGTTGGTACTGACCGCCTCCTCAGGCTGTCCGCATTGTTCTCACTGGGGTGGGTACGAGGGGGCCCAGGTGAGGTGGGCTGGATGGGTGTAAGGAGGTGGGGGTGTGTGGAAAGTTCCTTCTACCAGGGGGCTCTGAGGAGACTTCCCAAAGTGTTCCCTAAAGCGCTCGTGGAGTTTTACTAAGGACAGGAGCACAGCGGACTCCTGGAGGTCAGCAGTTTAGACACAGAGAACTGGCCAGAGCTGGCCAGTGTTCTACCCCTCACCCACCCACCCACCCCCAGCCCCAGCGAGTGTCAACATTCTTACATCCAGCCAAACTGACCCACTGCCATCGAATCGATTCTGACTCAGGGTTTCCGAGGCTGTAAATCTTCATGGGAGCAGAAAACCTCATTTTTCTCCCTTGGAATGACTGGTGGATTTGAACTGCTGACCTTGTGGTTTGCAGTAACCTATTATGCCATCAGGGCTCCTTAACATCTTACCTAACCAGGAATTAGTGCTGGCCAGGCCTGCCGGCAAGGCCATACACATGATTTCATCAGGGGCCCTGCGAGCACCCTTTCTCTGGTCCAGGATCCTGCCCTGCACCCCACGGTCTGAGACACCCCCTCCAGCTCTTCTTGTCTTTCATGACCTAGTTGCTGTTAGCTGCTGTCCAGTTAGCCCCCAACTCACGGTGACCCCACGCATGACGGTGGTGGTGGTGGTTCTGCGGAGTGACTGGTGGATGTGAACTGCTGTCTTTGCAGTCTGACCCGTACCTCACTAGGATATCAGTGCTCCTTGACCCCACGCATAAGAGGACGCAATGCTGTCTAGTCCCACGTCGTTCTCACGGTCACCCACAGCTCAGACACTGTAATCCGTGGCGTTTTCAGTGGTGGATGATAGGAGGTAGATCTCAGTCCTTTCTTCCTACTCCATGTTAGTGTGCAAGCTCTGCTGAAACATGTTCGGTACCACAGCAGGTTACAGGAATGACAGCCAGGTCAGGAGTCTGACCCTCAGGGTCTCTTCTCCCCTCACTTTGGGCTTCTCTAGTGTTCTCCTAGGGTTGGACAGAGCTGATGGTTTTGGGCCAGAAGAGCATAGACATGACGTCTCTCCTCTAGGGGTTTGGGGTAATGTTGACCTCAGGCACTTGGCGATGATGCTGTCTGCTGTCTGTCCCTTGGTTGCTCATAAAGAGCTTGGGGAGATACTTGTAGAAACGAATGTCCAGCGCTGCTTTGAGCCTTCATCGATGGAATTGTCTATAGTAGTTATTACTGCGATGTTGGCGTCATAGTGAGTTTTCTACTTCTCGCCTTCAGTGTTGGAAGTTTTAGACTCACAGAAAAGTTACAGAAATAGTTTGCGAGTGGTTTTGACAGACAGAGGTTTCAGTCTCAGGGAGGGGTGTTGTTGAAGTGAGCAGATCAGCAAATCAAAGGCCGGAGGGGCAGTTCTGCATGCTGGTCAAGAGCAGAGATGCGGAGTCATGGATTGCCACGTCTCCAGTGCCTCGGGAAGAATTTAGGCTTCTGTGTCTGCCCTCCTCCTCCATCCCAGATCCCAGCTCCTCACAGCAATGCAAGTTTAAGTAGTTCTTGACTTTTTAGCTTCCAAGACCACAATTCTAGCCATTTAAGCTGGGCAGCAGGGTAGGCAGTGAGGGTGCAGTGACCAGCAGGTCCTGACAAGTGTGGGCTTTGTTCTGTGTGCAGCGGTTACCCAAGGGTGTTTCTGTGGGAGAGTGCTCAGCGGAAGACTCAGGCGGCTTTGGAGCAGAGCCAGGAGCTAGGGGAGCGTTATAGCAGGGACGGGCACAGGACAGGTGAGAAGACCTCCATTTTCACCTGCCCTTGTGCCCTTCCCTCAGGTCATCAGGCCCTCTGCTGTGCCCCCCATGCCACCTGCCAAGCCCAGTGCTGGAGGACCCTCTCCCTTCCAAGCCATCAGGCCCTCTGTTGCACCCCCAGCTCCACCCACCAAGCCCAGTGCTGGAGGACCCTCTCCCTTCCAAGCCACCAGACCTACCACTGGGCCCCCCGCGCCACCTGCCAAGCCCGGTGCTGGAAAGCTCAAGCCTGCTCCAACTCAGGTGAGAATCTACCCAGAAATACCACTCTCCAGAGGGTCGGGTTTCCCTTCACTGAATGGTCAGCAGATCAACTTTCATGATGGTTTGAAAAGGATGGAAACATACGCACTATAGGTTTATTTGTATGTGTGATGTCCTTGTTGCCATCCTGTGTGGTGGTTGTTGTGTTGTGAAGTGCCTTCGAGTCACTCCCGAAACATAGCCACCCTGTAAAGGGTTCCGAGGCTGTGAATCTTGGCGGGAGCACAAAGCCTCATCTTTCTCCCTCAGAGCAGCTAGTGGACCTGAACTGTGACCTTGTGCCTAGCAGTCCAGTGCTCAGTGCACAGAGGCACTGTGCTCGCATTGAGTGGCTAGGGGCATGCATTGTTGGATGGATTAAGAAGGTAAAGAGAAACGAACGAAGCTGTGCTCTTTACTGGGATGATTTTGACATCACTTCTCTATCCCCCCCCCAAGGGCTTTGGCACAAAGGTTGCCCTCAAGCCCCCCACCCAGGGGAGATGACCAGGGCCCGGACCTCCTGAAGCATCTTCGAACCTGTCTGGAATTTGCCTGCCATTCCTCTTGAAGGACTATGCTAACCTCCTCACCAGCACCACCCCGATCCTGGCCCAGACTGGGCTGGCAGCTCTTGGCAAGCAGATTCTGCAGTCAGGGCCCAGGTGGGCACCCGCCTTTGGGCGTGTGGTTTCAGAGCCACACGATTCATGGCTAAGGTCATAGCTATAGCCAACCACCAAGAGGCTCTCCACTCAGGACTCAGTGTTGGGCCTCGAGCGGCTGGTCCCTGACCTCAGAATACATTATTTACCTAAGAGTCCAGGCCAGTTCCTCCTCACCAGTGTCGGCCACATATAACCCAGCTTGTCTGTGGGCCCAGGTGGGGATGAGTCACCTTCTGTTATTGGCGGGTGGTGGAGATCCAGACTGCTTTCCTCAAAGCAAAGGCGTAGAATACATTGGCCTCCAGCCGGCTCCTTACCTGCTCTCAGACCTGCTGAGCCCCTGGCCACTTCAACTGCGCAAAACCCACCCTCAGCCTGTGTCACTGTCCCACTCTCAGAAATGGGCCCCTGCTAGGGCCCCTCCCTCCACCCCAAGATGGGACAGCCTCGCGTGTTTTCTCCTTTTTAAAAGGTGGACAGGAAACACGTCAGTGTCTCTGTTTTATATTTTCATCTTAGGAATCTTCACCTTTATCTAAAGGGTCAGATTGGGGAGCAACTGTCGTGCTGCCGACTCGTCAAATCTCAGGTGCCCACTCAGCAGCACTGAGCCTTTTTATACTTCAATAGTGAAAAACTATTTATGATTAAATTATTGACCAGATTCTAAATGTTGGAGGGTTTTTATTACATCAGTGGTAAAGGGTGCATATTACATATTGTAGGATTCAATTATTTTTATACTATTAAAGGGTACAATGCTTGTTAAAATGCAACACTGTAATATTGATCGTCTTCTCCCTGAATTTTAATCATAAATGCTTCCCCAATCCAAATAGTCCCAATCCAAACACATCTGAGGGCTAATAAGACCCCAAGAACTGGTGCCAAGGGGTTGATTAAACTATTAATTGGATAAAAGCTCAGTCTCTGGAGGTCAGTCTGGCTGGGGAGAGTCTGCGGCAAGGCCAACCGTTTTCTGCCATGGGCCTGCACGGAAAAGCCAGGCGCGGGACTTGACGGTCCAGGGGAACCTGTCTGTGAGCTTTGCTTCTGCCTGCAATCTTGAAAGTGTAAAATTAGCAACCGGTGCGACCCCCCCACCACCACCACCACCCAGGCGCGCCTACTAGAGCCCCAACAAGCCCAAAGCCCCGCCCCTTCCGGCCCATCTCCTAGCAACGGTCCCAACTCCTAACTCCGGCGCCATGCTCGGTGCTACCCATCCGAGTCCCCCGACAGTCCAGTCGCTGCCGCCAAGCACCCTCAGCGGCCTCTACGCCTGGTTGGACAGGCTTCCGCTCAGCCGCCCCAAGCGCCACCTGGCCCGAGACTTCAGCGACGGTGGTGAGGGCGTGTCCTGCAGGGGCGAGTGGCCACGCTCCCGAGGATTGGCCAGACCCGGGGTCCTGAAAGGAGGCCGGGCGGAGGGCATGGGGGAGGCTGCTCAGGGAGGCTCAAGGCCGGCACGGGACCTGCCTCCCTCTGCCCGAGGACAAGCTGCGAATGGTCTCTCCGGTCATGTCTCCCGCCGGCCAGGGGTTTCGAGAGGGACAGAGATGCGGACAGAGCTGCCAGGGAAGGGGCCGTGTCTTGTCAAGGGTCTCTAATCCCCGGTTCCCAGTCAAGTGCTGACAACCCAGAGAGGAGCAGGAGAGGGTCCGCCGGCGGTGGGGTCGTGGGGAGGGGCGATGTCCTGGAAGGAGGAGAAATGGAGTGGGGGAAGCATAAGAGGAAGTTTCCAGAAGTTCTGGTCCTAGCTAACTTGGAAAGGCCTTTGGCAAGATGCACAGCTGTCACTTGAGACCCATGGGGAAGCCCAGGTGGGCCTGGCTGCTCTGAGGACAAGGCTGAGAGTGAGAGCGGGTGAGCAGCGCTGAGGTCACTGGTCTGGGCTGCAAGCGGGGACGCCCCTTTCCGTCTGCCGGTCTTCAGGTGCTTCGTTCCATGTGGTGGTCAGCCTCATTTGCTTTCTTCTCTGTGTGGGGTGGGAAAATCTTCAGATCTTTGTTGGAATTCTGAATGAGGAGCCCCTAGAAACTGAAGCTCAAAACATTCAGCCCCAATCAAAGCAGCTCTTCAGCAATGCCTGGAGAGGGCGCTGGTGCCAAGTGGGGTGCCCACCTACAGGTCCTGTGACCCCCCAGGCTCCCTCTCAGCCCGCAGCCCTGAGGGGCATCATACCCTACAGTGAACTCTGACCCTAACCCAATGACTCTTCTCCCCCAGTCCCTGCCAGGCTATGGCCCTTCCCCTGGTCTTCTAATTCAACAGCCATAGGGACCAGTGTACCTAGGACCAGCCTGTCCCCTCACTCCTACTTCCTCTTTTTCTGTTCTCACAATATTTAGGGAAACCACAATGGTGTAACTGCTTCTAGTTCAGTAGGCCAAGCTCACCCTGTGTTTCTTCCCCTTCCAACATCGCTGTGACCTGAAGTGATGCTGGCTGAGATTGTGAAGTACTTCCACCCCCAACTCGTGGACCTACACAACTACATCCCCACCTGCAACACGGACCAGAAACTCAGCAACTGGAGCACTCTTAACAGGCATGGTCCCCTCGGGGCTCAGCCACGCCCCAACCTGCAAGTGTCTCCACAAGGCGGCCCCTCTGGACATCCCTGGCACCCTTTTGGTGCCCGTGTTCCACCAGAACCTCACCTCAACCTTGCGCTCTGATGGTTTCCCACTGGGAGGAAAGCACACATCTGTGGGTACTGGTCACACCGACCATGTACCCGGTCCATGCTGTCCATACCTGGGTGCCTCACAGGAACCGCTAACTCACTCAACAAATAGTACTTGGGGTGCCCGGCAGTGACGTCACTGTGCTCATGAAGCTGAAGGTCTGTCAGGTGCAGATCGGCTGCCAAGTACCCATGAGGCCCTGGGCCCTAGAGGCCAAGCCAGGTCCTGGCTCCCATGCTCAGTGGGGGCAGAGGAGAAAGGGAGGGGTGACTGGTGATGGTCAGTTAATGGGCATTTTGAAGGCTGGCTCATTATTAGCCAGCCTGTCCCTGAAAGGGTCCACATCCTACCACCCTGAGGGGACGGGACTTACAAGAGCAGAGATGACAGGCTGGTGAGCCTCATGGGGCAGAGGTCCGTTAGGGTTCTGTCTGTCTGTCCACTTTCTGTGGCCTAAAGACCCTGCAGGTCAGGGAGGCGTGTTGCTGAGGACTGCCTGGGTTCCTTTGCAGGAAAGTCTTTCACAAGCTGAATTTCTGTGTCTCGGAGGCAGACATCCGAAAGGTGGTAGCCAACACGTCTGGGGCTGTGGAGCCCATCCTGTGTGCTCTGAGGGCGAAGGTGGAGGCGGGTGCACGGAACAGGAGCCCGCCCTCTGAGGCAGTATGTCTGCGCCATACTGGGCTCTGAGCTGGCCCTGGGTTAGGGTTAGAGGGTGGTCATGGAGCCTCATGTCCCGGTCTCTGCCAGGGTTCAGTCCACCTGATCGTCCCTGCCTTCGTTCGTTCTCCTCTTTGATCCCCACTGTGCCTCCAAGACCCTCAGGTCTCCACTCTTCATTATCCCCCGCAGGGTCCAGGGACCTGTGGCCTCGGGGCCAGTGGTCTGTGGGCAGAGCTCGCTGGTCAGAGGTGTGCAGCAGGTATCGTCCCAGAGGAGAGTCATGGGAGGCATGCTCACAGCTCACCCCCTGGGCTTCGAGGGACAAACTCCATAGGGATGTGGTCAGGTGGGCTGGGGCCATGAGGTGGCCCTTGTTAAGGTGACGCCATTCCGCATGCAGGGATCTGACATCAAGCCCACGTGCACCCAGCTCTCTAGAACCTGGCCTCCCCAAGGACACCCGCTTCCAGGCCAGGGTCCAAACTCTGTCTGTCTGTCTGTCTGTCTGTCATACAGGACCTGCAAGTCCCCCAGTGCTCCGTGGCGGGAAGACTTCTCCGAGTCAGTGGCCTCTGGAGGAAATGGGCTGTGCTCGCCAAGGGTGTGCCCTGCCCCCTTTCCTACACTGAGTCCCCACCCCACCCCACCCCACCCCTCACTCCCTCACCAGTTGGGTTATAGGTGGTGTTTGTCTTGCAGTTGGGACATGGTGGGCCAGCCCTGGGAACCCCTAAGCCCCGGGGCCCAGCAGCTGCTGGAGGACAAGGAACATGCATTGGTCATCTTGCAGGAGACAGTGCAGGTGGGCAGCCCGTCCTCAACATGCCAGCAGGGGGAGGGTCCAGTACAAGTGAAAAAGAAGGTCCAGGCCCTGAGAGATGGCAGCTATCCAGAATGATCCATCTGGGGGCAGTCCAGGTCCTGCAGGGGCCAAGCCACGTTTTAGTGGGGCTTTTTTTTTTTTTAAGGTTTTTATTGTGGATTGAGTGAAAGTTTACAGGGCAGATCATTAGTTTTACATTCAACAAATCATACACCTTGTTTCATTACATTGATTATAATCCCTTCCATGTACCATCAGTTAACACTATTTCTCTCTATTCACTTTAGCTTTTTTTATAAAAACAAACAAACACTCAGGCATATATAATAATTTACATATCCAAAAGACACATTCTGCAAGTTGGCCTCCTGGCCACTGGCTCTTAGTCCCTCTCTTCCCATGAATCTGGAGTCCTCAGCCAATCCCCCTCTCTATGCCCCCATCTCTGCCTCCATCTCTGGCATCGCTGCTTCTCTGGATAAGGTCCTGCATTCTGCTTGTGGTCTTCTCCCTTGATAGTCCTAGGGTCCTCTGGTTCTTGACTGTAAGATTAACCACTCCCCTGTTTTTATTACTAAACTTCTACCTTTACAATTGTAAGAGTTGCAATTAGTCATGATAACTTTTACTCATTATTGAATCATAAGCATCTTATTCCCATCTCTTTTCACCAGACCCATTTAGACAAGATGAAAACTATTTAGTGGGGATTCTTTCTTCCCCCTCACACTCTTAAACTAAACTCCCTCTTGAAACCTTGTAAGCCAGTCACTGCCTCTCCTCCGGACACGGTCCTGCACTTTGCTTTTCTCCTTTGATGGTTCCAGGGATCTCCACTCCTGGACTGCAAAATCAGCCACTCCCCTCCTTTTGTTACCAAATATTTACATTTACATTTACCCTGCCAACATTCACTGTCAGACCTGATAGCAATCATTCCCTATTGAACCACAGGAGTCCTTTCCCCCTCACCTTTTATCAACTCCATCCAGACAGGTTGGAAACAATTCAGTGGAGGTTCTACCTTTCCCTGTAGCCTCTCGCCTTTGTAGTCTCCCCATTTTGTGTAGTCAATGTCTAAGTTCCCCCTCCCTGTCGACCCTGCGTACCAAGGGAGTGGGAATGATCCTCACTGTAGAGATTTTCTGGTCCTTTGTCATACTGCATCCACAAGCATAGGTCAAGATCATCCACTTACAGTGGGTGACGCCTTTTTTTTTTTTTCCCCTCTTCTTTCTTCCTCTAGTCGTGTTCTGATCATCCAGCCATTGATGCCAGGTCAAATGGGTACTATCTGCAAGTGTGGGTGTTCTTGTGCATCCCCATCCCCCCACTTAATATCAGCTGGGAGCTTCACACTCCATTCTAGTCCTCTGGGGCCATGTCCCTGCTCCTGGGCCCAGGAGTTCCCAGGTCTTGTCATAACTGCTGGTTAACCAGGTCTCAATCCATATCCTGGAATGTTGTGATTACACCTTCATATTTTATTGACAGCTTTGCTGGATAGAGGATTCTTGGTTGGCAGCTTTTTTCTTTCAGGGTTTTATATATGTCTCCCCATTGTCTTCTTGCCAGTATGGTTTCTGTTGAGAGATCCAAGCTTAATCTGATTTGCTTGCCTTTGTATGTTACACTTCTCTTTTCCCTAGCTGCTTTCAGGATTCTGTCCTTATCTTTGATTTTGGAGAGCTTGATTATTATATGTCTTGGTATTTTCTTTTAGGGTCTTTCCTTCCTGGGGTGTGTTGATCTTCTTGAATGTTTATCTTTTCACTTTTCAGCATGTTAGGGAAATTTTCTTCCAGCAGCTCTTCAATTATCTCCTCTGTGGACTTGTGTGATTCTTCCTGTTCCGGAATGCTGATAATTCTTATGTTATTTCTCTTCATGTTGCCCAGCATGAATCTTAGACCTTCTTCAGATTTTTAAATATTTTTTTTTTGTGCTTACTCTTCTATCTTAATAGTGTTGATAGATTTATCATCTAGCTCACTAGTTCTGGCTTCTTTCTCTTCAATTCTATTCCTTTGCCCTTTCAATGTATTGTCCATTTCTGACATTCTATTATTAATCGTTTGGACCTCTTTCTGTAGGTTTTGAATTGTTTCCAATGCTATGTCTATCTTATTTGATTGTTCCTGTAGCACTTTCCTGACTTCTTCCTTATTTTTCTCAACTCCATTGTATAGTGTTTTGATACATTTTATAATCATTTTTTTGATTGCCTTCTCAGGCATTTCCAAAGCCTGCTCATCTTCCAGTACAGAGTGTAGGTCTACTTCCAGCTCATTTGCCTCAGTCACTTTATCTCATTTCTGGACATGTGCTGATATGGTCATCTGCTTCTGTTTTTTAGGTATATTCAGGAGTTACTGTGGCCTTAATATTTAGATGGGTGTGTGTTTTGGTATTTTTTATCCTTTCTTAATGCCTCCAGGTAGATGTGATCAGGAAATGGGCTTCCCTTTTCACTCTTCTTACTGAGAAATTTGAAGATGCCACTATTGATTGTTGTGATGTAAATCAGGATTAAATTTTCGGCCTATTTCCTTTTTAGTCTGCCTGTCCCACTCCACAATCCCTGTTTGGGCCTTTTTCCTAGTGATAAACAGTTCAGGGCCAGCTGTGGCCATTTTGCCCTTCTGTTTGTTTTTAAATGGAAATTGTCACTTTAAATTTTGAGGAGATCTGTGAGCATGCATAGTAGAACCCTCCAGGGGTAGGGGTGGGGTGTCAACTCGCTCTAGCACCCCCTCTACTCACCTGAATGGAGGTGCACAGACAGCGAGAGACCAATGAACAGATACCAAAAAAAAAAAAAAAGTGTCCACACCTGTACTCCGCGGTTCTGTCAGGCGTCCGTGGCTGCTCTGATCCTTCCCCAGCTTGGTCTCGCCCAAGATGGCGGCTCCAGGAGCAGCTGAGCATCACAATGGATTTCTTGCTTCTGCTACAAATTCCCCCAGCTGTAAGCCTTCCAACCTTCTAAATATTTCTTTATATGTGATTCAGTGTTCTGGTACCATCCCCTGAGCCTGCTTGGTCCAGTATTGTGTGTTGTTGCTGATGGAGCTCCTCACTGCACATCTACCCGATCTGCCATCTTGTTTGGTTGGATTATTTTTAAATGATGTAATTATAGAATATTCCAAACATACTCAGAAGCAAAGAGACAATATCAAGACCCCCTCACATACATACCCCCTCATTCAACTTCACTGGAGAAGGGCCCCCAAGTCGATAGCAGACTCCCCACCTCAGCACAGTACTGGATGTTGGCCAAGCTCCCCACTCTCCCTGTGGGCTGGGATCATGGCATCCAATGCTAGACCAGGTTCTCTGTGGACCCCTGGTCCCCAGGAGCCCCAAGTCCCTCAGTGCATCAGTGTGGGAGCCCCAGACCCACAGTCATCACAATATAGGCCTGAGAGCCCCTCCCCCAGAGCAGCACAAGCATGTGGGAGGCAGGTGTGTTAAAGGGGGAAACACTGGGTGGGGCGGAGTAGGGGCAACACTTGGTGCCAGCAGGCGCCGGGTACAGTGTGTGAGGACGAGCGCTGCAGGTGCTGGACTGGAATGGAGATGACCCCTGAGGTCCCTAGCAAGTGTCTGAACCTCAAAACTGCTTCCTCCAATCGGTCATTACAGGAAAATGACATCGTTGTGTGATTTCAACCTGCTGAGGACAGCAGAGAGGAAGCAACAGGAGTCGGCTGGCTCCTGGGTGAGTCAGGGCCTAGCGTGACCCACGTGCTGACACATAGATGGTCCAAGATGGCCTTGTGTAGGAAACCAGAGGGGGAAGAGCTCATGCTTCCCTTTGAAATGGTGACTCAGTATCGTCTGCTTGACGTGGGGAAAGCTGGGAAAGGAACGTTGGTACTTTTTTATGGTGATCAAATTTGCTTAACGTCACATTGGCCATTTTAAGTATACGTTTCAGTGGCATCAGTACATTCATAATATTGTATAATCATCTTCTACCTCCAGACTTTCCATCACCCCCAAAAGAGAACTCCACCCATACGCAGCTGCTCCCCACTATGCCTCCCCAGCGCCCAGTAGCCCCCAATCCACTGGCTTTCCATATGCATTCGCCTACTGCAGTTATGAAGGGTCCTGACACCTTGGGAGAGCTGTGGGACCCCGACAGGAATACCACAGTGACACGAGCAAGTGACCATGGACCCCTCACCCGTCATTTTACCATTCCTTCTTGACTGCTCACTTCTCCCTTTGTCGTTGAAAACTAAAAGTGGTTACGGGCCATGCCCCTGGGACGCTCCATTCCATCAGATCAGGTCATGATGGGGTTAAGCGTATGACGGTCTGGCCTTAATCCTCTTGTTGGTTTAGCACATCGGATCACATCATGGGGAGTCATAACTGTCACACCACTGAGAATCATGACCCAAGCGAACACGGAGTTGAGGGACACAGTTCAACCTGTGATCGCTGCTGAGCAAAAGGTTCTCGGTTCAAACCTACCAGCCACTCCACTGGAAAAAGACACGTCTGTCTGCTTCCATAAAGATGCCCTGAAACTGTCACGGGTCACTTCTCCTCTGTCCTGTAGGCTTGCTGAGTCAGAATCAACTTGATGCCAACAGATTTCAAACATCCGGTATTGGTCCTTTTATGTATGACTTATTGCATCTGTATGTTTAGCATGTATCAGGATTTCCTTCCTTTTTAGCACTGAGTAACATTCATTGTATGGATGTGCGTTCCTCGATGATGGACACTTTGGTGGGGTCTATTTTTGGCTAATGTGGATAATATTGAACACTGGTGTACAGTATCTGTTTGACTTGTTTTCAGTTCTTTTGAGTATATACCTAGCTATGTACTGGATTAGTGAGTCGTGGCGTTTTTATGCTTAACTTTCAGAGGAGTCACCGGTTTGTTTTCCATAACGTCTGTACCATTCTACATTCCCACCATCCATGGAGGAGGCTTCCAATCACACCAAGGCTCAACACTTACTATTTTCTGGGCTTGTTTGGTTTTGCCTTTATAATAATCTTCCTAGTAGGTGTGAAGTGGTGTCTTTTTATTTTGATTTCACTTCTCTGATGACTAATGATGTTGAGTATCTTTTCATGTGTCATTTGTGTATTTTCTGTGAGAAATGCTCATCTGAGTTCTTTGCTCGTGTGTTAAGTGGGTTGTGTGTTTGTTGTGAGTGGCAGTTCTATACGCTGGATATTAATTCCTTGTCGGGAATATGATTCACAAATATTTTCTCCCATTCTGTAACTTCTCTTTTCATCTCTTGACTGTCTCCTTTGATGCACAAAAGTTTTTGATGAAGATAACTTTATCTGCTTTTTTCTTTTAGGATCTGTGCATTTCCTAACCCATTGTCATGAAGATTTCCACTTAGATTTTCTTCTAAGAGTTTTGTAGTTTTCACCCTTATGTTTAGGTCTTTGGTCCATTTTGAGTGGATTTTTATATATGGTGCTTCACAATGGGTGATTTTAAAGAGCAGAAATTTATCTTCTCTTGATTCTGGAGGTGGAAGTCCACATCAGGGTCTTGGCTGTGTGGATTCTTTCTGTAGAACTCTTGGTTCTCGGCATTCCTCAGAGTCTGTCTTTCCCTACCTCTCTCTGTCTGCTCTGCATTTTTTATAACTCAGAAGTGATTAGGGTCAGGATTGACCTTACTCTGATAGAACCCCATTAACATGAAAGAGAACCCCTGTTTCCAAACAGGGCCATAGCTCCAGGTATAGGAGTTAGGATCGCAACACAGGATTTTGGGAGACACAACACAGTCCAGAGCATGCTGTAAGGTAAAAAGTCCCACGTCAGTCTACTGTACATGGGTACCCAGTTGTCTCAGCATCATTTATTGCAAATACTCGCCTTTCTCCATTGAATACTCTTGGCAGCTTTGCTAAAAAATCAACTGAACCTGTAAGTGAGGATGTATTTCTGGAATCGCTATCCAAGCCATTGGTTTATGTGTCTATTTTATCTCAGTAGTATACTGTTTTGACTACCACAGCTTCGTAATACCTTTTGAAACCAGAAAATCTGAGTATCCCAAAGTATCCCAACTATGTTCTCCTTTGAGATTATTTTAACTTTTTAAGGCCCCTTGAGATTTCATTTTAATTTTAGGATGGGTTTTTCTGTTTCTCTTTTTTAAATGCCATTAAGATTTTAATAGGAATTTAATTGAATCTATAGATTGCTTTGGATAGTAATTTCAATTTAACAATATTAAATATTCCAGCCTTTGAACTTGGGATTTCTTTCCATTTATATAGATCTTTATTCTTTTCAGTAATATTTTTTAGTTTATGGTGTATAAATCTATCACTTCTTTGTTTAAATGTATCCCTAAGGTGTTTGGGGGCTTCCCCCCACCCCATGATTAGAAATGGATTGTTTCCTTTATTTCCTTTTTGGATTGTTCACTACAAGTGTATAGGAATACAGTTGCTTTTTGTATGTTTATTTTACTTCCTGCAACTTTGCTGAATTCGTTTATAGCTTGAATTTTTTTTTGCACATATAAGACCATGTCATTTGTCAACAGAGATAGTTTCACTTCGTTTTGTCCTATTTGGGTTCCTTTTATTTCTTTTTCTTGCCTAACTGCTCTGACTAGAACTTCCGTAATGTGGAATAAAAGTTTGAAATCAGGCCCCTTATCTTGTTCTTAGGAGCTCTGGTAGCGTAGTGGTTACGAATCGGGCTGCGAACCTTAAGGTCCTTGGTTTGAAACTACCAGCCGCTCCGTGGGAGAAAGATGAGGCTTTTTACTCCCATAAGGATTTACACCCTCGGAAACCCTGTACAGGGTCGCTATGGGTCGGAACCGACTCGACGGCACTTAACCACAACAACATCTTGTTCTTGTTCTTAAGGGGGATTCTCTGTCTTTCGCCATTGAATATGGAGTTGGCTAGCTGTTGATTTTTCACTTATGTCCTTTATCATATTGAAGAAATTATCTTAAATTTCTTGTTTATTGTGGGTATTTTTTAAATCATAAAAGAATATTGTATCTTTTCAAATACTTTTTTCCGCATTAATTGAAATGACCATGTAATTTTCATTATTCTGTTAATGTGGTGTATTAGGACTTAGTGATTTTCTCTACATTGCAGGAATAAATTCCAATTTGTCTTGGTGAAGAATCCTTTTAGTATGCTTCTGAATTTGGTTTCCTAGTATTTTGTTGAGGATTTTTGTATCTGTCTTCATAAGGAACATGGGTCTGTAATTTTCTTTTTCTTATAGTATCTTTATCTAGTCTTAATATTAGGGTAACGGTGGGTTCATAGAATGAGTTAGGAAGTGTTACCTTCTCTTCAGTTTTTCGGGAGAGTTTTAGAAGAATTGGCTTTAATTGTCTTTAAAAGTTGGTAGAATTCACCAGTGAAACCATCTGTTTCTGAGCTTTCCTTCATTGTGAGGTTTTTAACGATCAATTCAGTTTCTTTACTTATTAGATGTTATTTTTGTTGTTAAGTGCCGTCATGTAGGTTCCGATCATAACCACCTTGTATAGGGTTTCGGAGGAGCTACTGGTGAACTTGAACTATCGACCTTGTGGTTCAAACTGACCTTGCAGTCCAGTGTACTAACCCGCAGCGCCACACCAGAACTCCTTGCGTCTTAGTAAGTTTTTGTGGTTAAGGACCGTCGAGTTGGTTTGGGCTCACAGTGACCCTGTATAGGGCTTCTGAGGAAGTGCCGCTCAGATTGACCCCACAACCTTGGGGTTCGAACCAGTCCTGCAGTCCAGCACATTAACCCACAGCGCCACATTTTTAATTTCTTCTTGAGTCAGTTTTGGCAGATTGCATGTTTATAGGAATTAATTTGCCCATTTCATCTAGATTATCTCCTAAGAGGTTATGCAAATCCAACAAACTTGCTTGAATAATTGTGTCTGATGTCCATGCTGCGATGTTTTGTCACAATGGTCATGGGACAGATGGATGCTGGGAAGATGCTATTGGTGACAAGCAGTGTGCAGGAACCTCCTGGGGCCTACTGAGGAGGAAGTTCCGTCACTCTGGACTGGCATTGGGGGACATGCCTGTCCTTCTAGCTTTCCAATCAGCAAGCTGTCTCGGTGTGAGGCCGAATGGGGGGCTGGGCTGTGATGGGCTCTCCAAGGGACCCTTTTCTCCCCCATCTACTGTGAGTCTGCAGGACTGTCTCTGTGAGCCCTGAACGGGTATGACTTCAGCTTGCATGTGGTCTGTCAGCACCACTGGTCCCCCTCAGGAACGAGGGTTGTTCCCACTCTCCCACTCTGCTTACAGGAAGGGAGGCTGGTAGCATATTTGGTCCTCAAAGGAGGAGGCGTGGACGGCTTGGTCACCATGGCCCGAGCTCTCAACCTGAGAAAGGGCATAAGTTGGGACCATCCCTCATGAGGACGTTTCTCAAGATTATTCACTTTTGGAAGTAAGCACCCGCTGCCCTCTGTGGTTCATTCATCTAGTGACCATGGATGCAGCAAGTGCGCTTTGAGCTCAAGCCCCTCCCACACCCACCCAGGGACCTCCCAGACATGGTGGGGACACTTCGGTGACATGATGATGCAGTGGCGTCAGGAGGGGGCCCCAGGAGGCCATGACAGGCCCTGCGGAACTGGGAGCAAGATGGGCGGTTGTGTGGGTGGGACTCCAGCTGATGAGGCTGGTAGCTGTGGTGAGAAGGCCCACGTGAGTCTAAGCTGGCCCTGGGTGGGGTCCTACGCACCGTCTCACTTCCTGTTCTGAGACCCGGCACCCCATCCACACACCTGCTCACCCTGGGCGTCTTGTCTGCAGAGGCACCCTCCCCCATTGCCATCCCTCCAGGTGGCTTCCTTTGGTTCTGACTGACCGTGTGGCCTACATTCAGGTCAAGTAGACACTGACCTGGGAGGATCCACTTGGCACATGGATGGGGTTCTGTTCTTAAGAGCTTCTTTGGACCCACCTGATGCTTTTCCTATTGTGTGTTGCTAAAGATTTTGCAGATGAAGGTGGCAAGGTTGGAGCAGCTGTTGAAGCTGAAGGACCTGAGGATCCAAGAGCTGGCAGGACAGTCCGACCAGGAGGCTCAGTAGCAGGGTGCTGGGGGCAACGGGGGCGCTGAGGGGTCTCCAGCTTGAGCTGACTGGAGGAAGCCACCCCCCATGAACATTGCAGGGACGTCTGTGTGCAGAGCTCCACTGGGCCCAGTGCAGGGATTTTCACAAATGGGGGCCCACCCGAGACCGAATCTAGTGCACAACAGCTGAAAACGTCTGTCTGTTACATGTTTGTGAACAAATAAATCCCACTGTGCCATGTCTGTGGGTTTGCTGTGTTCAGCCAGCTGAGGTGGGCAGGACTTCCCAGGGAAACTCGGGGCGTCTCCAGGAACCCGGCGGTGGAAGGATGGAGCAGGGCCCCCCCTCTAGGAGAAGTCCTCTCCAGGTCCGGGCTTTGATTCGAGATGTGAATGGACATTGGGCCAGGTGGAGGTGGTCCAGCATGAGGCTGAATGAGGGTCTGGGCCGGCTGCAGGTACTGGCTGGACCCTCCAGACAGGACAGTCCCCCAACCCCAACTCAAGAGCAGAGCAGGTGACCCGACCACCTGCAGACCGCTCAGAGCTGCTGAGGGTCCGAGGGCCTGCAGTGCTGAGACTCACTGTCCAGGGGGCCTGCTGAGCCCCGGCTCCGTCAGCCCCAGCAGCCGCCCTTGTCCAGAGCTGGAGAGAAGCATGAGGGGGGGAGGGGCGCTCAGCTGTCATCCAGGTTTCCAGTGTACACAGCCCGAAGGGGACCCCCAACCTGCTGGATGTGGGGGGCCAGGCCTTGAAGGGGTGTGTGTGTGTGTTGGGGTCCAGGCCCAAAGTGCAGATTGCCCGTTGGGATCTTCAGATGTCAGTGCCCTGGCCCTGCAGACCCCTGGTGTGAGAAGCAGAGATCGTGCTTCCTGAATCACGGAGGGACCCCAGCCCCAGACTGCAGCTCCCACAGGAGGAGACACCTGGGAAGGGCTTGGCTGATAAATGCTGGCAACAGAGCCACCATGCCAGCTCTTCATGCCCTGATCTTGCCCACAAGCACACACATGCAGACAGTGTACGGCAGGTGTGCACACACGTGAGGGCTGCCTGGTTCCATGATGGAGCAGAGGACTTGCCCCTTGAAGCCTCAGTGCTGGGCAGAGGCTATGTGCGAGAGTACATGTGTGTGTGTGTGTGTGTGCGCGCGTGCGCGTGCACTCGCTGGTGAAGGGGACTTGGGGTGGCCTGGGTGAGGACATACAAGCAGAGGGGCATGGGAGCACCCTTTGGACTCCCAGTGACCGGGTTTGGGGGCAGAGGAGGGGGCCGCTTGGTGGAGCTGAGGATGGAGTTGGGGACGGTGCCTCCCTGGGCAGGACTCCGAAACAGATGTGGTAGGAGGACAAGTTGGTGGCAAACAAACCTGTAGTAGCAGATGCCAGCTCACATTCCACAGGTGCCTGGGGTCATGTTCTGTGGAGCTGACGTGCAGGTGAGGTGCAGGTGAGGTGCAGGGCAAAGCCCTGATGGGCCTGCACTGAGCCCTGGAGTTCCATTGGCTGGAAGGCCCCCAGCCAAGGCCCTGAGGGAGGGGAGTGCTGGACACAGGAAGCCAGCCTCCCCTTAGAAGGAGCAAGGAGCTGCCCTTCTGGGGGGTGGGGGGAATTAGTGGGGCCTTTGCCACCCGTCAGGTCAGGACAGGTGGGCGGGCGGGCAGAGGGACAGAGCTGCCACAGTGGGGGTCCCTGGGGGTGGGGCCCATTCAGACAAGGGGTGGGTGGGGGTTGGGCAAGGGTCCTGGCTCAGGACTGGGGTCAGCAGTGTTAGATTCCCCAATAAACAAAGTGAACACGGCCTTACTTGTGCTTACTCACCACATGTGAAATTGTTCACTATAGAAAATAAACACAAGTAAGCCTGTGCGTACCTTGCTTATTGGGTAATCTGCCCTGGGTGTTAACCTGCAATGTGGTGGGCAGGACAAGGACAGAGGTTTCTGGGTCAGCTGCCTGGGGGAGCTTCTGTCTGAGGCCCCCCGAGTGTGGACGCTCCCCAACTCCTGCGGATACCAGGTGGTCAAAGGTGGGGCTGGTCTTCCTGGAGCCCCATCTGTGGGCTGGTCCCCAACCCCCTCCCTGCAGGAAGTGGAGAGCTGCCGTTGCCCCACCGGGAGTGATTTGTCACTGAGATATCCTGTTTCTACAGCACTTCTCAGAAGCCATGACTCATTGCCCCTTAACAAGGGAGCGGCAACTGCTCTTTAGAAGCAGCCTGGGCTATTTGTGAAGATGCCCGAGCACACTGGACTCCCTGTCCAGGGCCAAACCTCCTTCTCCCCCACCCCACCGCTGGAGCAGGGCCTCTTGAGGTTAGAAGGGACAGTGCTGTGAGGGGCTGGGCATGGCGGGGGCCCAGCTCTGGACACACGTCTGCCCTCATGGGACTGAGTGACCATGTCCCAGTGCCGGTCAGAGTCCAAGCCAGGCCCCTCTCAGGGAATTCCCCTGCTCACTCCTGGCCCCTCTCTAGTGGTCTGTGTCCTACAGCCAGCGTTATAGTCCCCAAGCCCACCTGCCCATCCTCAGTGCCACCATAGGCAGGCAGGGTTTGTGTGGACCCTGCCAAAGGGGCTGCATGTGATACCTGGGGGCTCTGGGGCACTCTGCCTGTCGACCCCACAGGAATGGGGCGGTCATTCTGCTGATGAAACAGCCCTGTGGTCCCTTAAGTGAGGGCCCCCCAAACACTCTATGGCCAGATGGGTGCCAGCTATTTAAGGGATCAGATCATGGCCTCCCCTACTCCTGTGGTCCCCAGGACCTGCTGCTGAAGGCGGAGTCTCTGAGGAGAGGAGGGGTCTCTGATTAGACGAGGGGGTCTTTGAAGAGGGGGTCTTTGAAGAGAAAGTGTCTATGTAGAGGGGGTTCTCTAGGAGGGGACTCTTGAAGAGAAGGGACTCTCAGGTGGAGGGGTCTCTATGGAGAAAGGGTCTCTGACGAGAAAGCAGTGTCTCCCGAGTGGAGGAGAGGTCTTAAATCTGCTCCCTGTCCTCTGCACCAATAGGGTAGGCCCCCTGAGGTCAAAGAGTCAATTCCAACCCATAGGGACCATGTATAGGGGTTCCGAGGAGCAGCTGGTGAGCTTGAACCACTTGCAGTTCAAACGACTTTGTAGTCAGACCACAGCGCCACACCAGGACGCCCAAGGACAGTTGTTGTTGTTAAGTACCGTTGAGTTGGTTCCAACCCATAGTGACCCTGTATAGGGTTTCCGAGGAGCAGCTGGTGAGCTTGAACCGGCAACCTTGCAGCTGAAAGGGCTTTGCAACCTGGCGCATTAGCCCACAGCGCCACACCAGGACAGTTGTTATTACGACACCAGGACAGTAGAGGAGATTACAAACAAACCCAGCTGTGGCTTTCCTATCACCACCACAGGTGTTGGGGATCCTGTCTGGAGGGCCCACCTATCTTCCTCTTCAGGTCACAAGGAGAGGAGGCCATGACCCATCAGGGCTTTGGTCTTGCTTCCCTCTGAAACATCTGCCAACTTAGCTGCCCACCACCAGGAGCTGGGTTGGCAATGTGAAGAGAGATGCGGGACAGCCTGCCCTGCTGAGTGGAGACCCTTCACTTCAAACCCCAAGCCCAGAATAGCAACTCCCTCCAGGGCCTCACAGGCACTGCCCCGCAGTGTGCTGGAAGCGTGTCTGAGGGTCCTCTGTAACTAATTACCACACTAATTTACCAACATAGAACAAACCTCCGTTGTCTCCATGTCATGAGGGAGAATGGGTCCCCTGCCTCTCTCCCAGCTTCTGGGGACGGCTGCAGGTCCATTGGTTGTGACTGCATCACCTCATGGTTTCTCCTGGGCAGCTGTCCCTCACCTTACAAGGCCCCCAGGCATCGTGAGTCAGGCCCCATCCTCCTCCAGTAAGGTGACATCTGTTTCCAGACATCCTGCTGACAGGCACCAGGGTTAAGACTTGGAGTTGTGTTTTGGGGGACACAGTTCAGTTCATCACAGAGCTGGGTACAGAAAGGTGCCCCCCCTCTGTTAGGTGCTTGGGACCCCCAGTGAAGGGCTGATACTGCCTGGACAGAGGTGCCCCGTCATCACCACACTCCATAGGGAGCCCTGATGTCATTGACACCCACACACAGCCACCCACCCATGGGTGGCTCCATACAGCTTGTCCGGTGACGAGAACACCCCCATTTCCCTGCTTAGTTGCTTTCTAAATGTTCTCCTTCATGTCAGAGGAGTCCCTAAGTGGTTCAGATGCCCCCAAAGGTTCCTTGAAGGACAAATCTGGCAATCTGTGTAGACTGGACTTGGAAACCACATGGAGCACCGTTGAACTGTCCCCAAGCGTCACTACCACCAGGAAATCAATTCATAGATGATGCCTCTGTGCTGTGTGAGGCGACTTCAAAATGCTTGTGGAAAAGTGGAATTCAAAGAGAGTAAACTGTTCCCACGGGCTTTTTGAAGCCTCCTCATGTATAATAAGGAAAATACCAGAAGTAACAGCATGGGGGGGCCTTCAGAGCAGACAGGAAGGGACTGAACTGCTGACAATACAAAACCCAAACCATCCGCTGCCACTTGTCTCTCACGGAGCAGATGACCTTTCTACCATATCAAGGGCTATTCCTAGTGAAGACGCGCTGGAAATTCATTAGAAATTCAAACCCGGAAAGAGTGCGCGCCCTTCCCAGTCTAAAGCACAGACAGAAATGCTTGCCAATTTGGGATTCTTTATCTGGAGAGGTTGAGGGGAGGCTGCTCATTAAAATATTCAGCGTATCTTCTTGGATATGTTAAATAGTTGCTAATTTAAAAACCATTTTTAAGAGGAACAAGTGTTAGGGTAAAAAAGGTGTTGTTACAGTAGTTTTAGATTCGAGAGTACCATGTCGAAGAAACCGAGGCCACTGGGAGAGGTGAAGCAGATTTTATTAAACAGGATGGCACGGAGGAGTTCATTTCTCCAGATTCTGAGCCCTGGAGGACTACACGGGTTTATATGGGGTCAGAGTCGGAGCTGGGCTAGATTGCAGACCTGTTGAGGACAGGAGAGAATCCAGGGTGATTGATCCAGTTCGGTACCTGATTAACATTATAGTTTGTCTCCCGGGCCGGGGTGAGGCGAGCGGAGATTGGGTTGGGCAGGATTGGTCCCATTCAGTAATCTGATTAGCATTTTAGCTTGTCTCCTGGGCAGAGAGGACAGTGAATGATTATACCTTTTCCTATTCAGTGTAACATATTATCTATTAATTAGAGGCCCAGGAGTGGACCCTGAAGGGCTCTGGGCTTCCCCAGCCATTCTTCAATCGTTAAACGGGCAAAACAAGGCGCTGGGGCGGTAACCTGACCAGAGACCGCAGATCTGCCAGTCAAGCGCTTCCCGCCCAGCTGTCCGCCATGGTCCTCGCATCCAGGTGTAGGGCGACCCCACGTGGCCAGTTCTAAAATGACGCCATCCTGGCCCGAATCTCTCGTACAGCTCTAGGATAAGCACCGGACTGCTAACCTCAAGGTTGGCAGTTCAAACCCACCAGTTACTCTACGAGAGAAAAAGGAAGCTTTACGGGAGTAGAAAGCCTCATCTTTTTCCCGCGGAGCGGCTGGTAGTTTCGAACCGCTGACCTTAAGGTTCGCAGCCCGATTCGTAACCACTACGCTACCAGAGCTCCTTTCTGCTCCCATATACAGCCTAAGAAAAACCTTATGCGGGGTCTCTCTGAGTTGGAATTGCTTCGATGGTAATACATTTGGGGCTTTTGTCGGTGTTTTTCTTCGGCTCATTCTTTAAAGATCCTCAACACTGTGAAGTTGTAAACACCATCATCTTGGATGGAGCAGTGGTTGAGGACTGGGCTGCAGAGATTTACAGTTTGGGGAACCTTAGGGGCGTTCTCCTCAGTCCTACAGGGGCACTAGCAGTTGAAATAAAATCACAGCAGGGGGTCTCGGGGATTTTGTTTTTGTTTTGGGGGCAGTACTTGGACAGACAGGTGGAACTTTTTTTTCTTAAGGACCTTCCACAAACATTCAGAGATGTGCAGCCAGAGTTCTCCTCGGAAGCCAGGATGGCCAAACTTCCGTCTCTCATACTTTGGATATATTGTCAGGAGGAACCAGGCGCTGGAGAAGGATATCATGTTTGGTAAGGTGGAGGGTAGGAGAAAAAGAGGAAGACCCCCAATGAGATGGATCGGCACAGTGGAAGCATCAATGGGCTCAAGTGTGGCAACAGTAGTGAGGTTGGTCCAGGACTGGGCAGGGTTTCTGCTGTGCATAGGGTCGCTATGAGTCGGTACTGACTGGATGGCACCTAATAACAACATCAACAAACGTTTAAGCCCCCCCTCCCCCAGCCTGCCCATGCTCCTTGCCGTCCAGTGATGGAGAGAGCGGAGAACACAGGAGTGAGCAGAGGAAGGTGGGGGCCGACCCGCAGGCATCTGGAGGCGGAGACTGCGGGAAGAACGGAGCACACACAGCCCTGAAACACCGAAGGGAGATCTGTTTTCCAGCAAACAATGCAGTTGTTACAGAGCTGAACACTCCACCCACGGAAATGGGGCTGCTCCCCTCTGTGGGGCGGGAGGCAGCAGGAGGCCCCCAGGGGAGGTGGAAATGGATACTTCTGCCCAGCTTAATATTTTGTAAGAGTTTTAAAAGCACATTTAAATGTGAGACCTTTACAGTCCAGCTTAACCCCCAGCGCCGTACCAGGACTCCCTAGGCAGCAAAAAGGGTGTAAAAACAAACGGGCACCTGTAATCAGACCCCACTATGGACTAACATCAGATTGACTTTAAAAAGTCACCTGGAACACAGCGTGGCTTTGGGCCAGAGGTTTGAACAGCTTTCACCTGGGCCCTGGCAAAGCTGCTAGTGAAATGACAGGTCATCAAACTAGGGGAGCAACAGGAACCCTTGTCCCATGGGCTGGTTCTGGGGCGCCTTGGCCTGGTCCCTGTTCAGAGGGGTTCCGGAGAGGTGCTGGGTGGGGAGTGGTGCTGTAGGAGAGGATGGGGTCAGTGGTCCCTGCTTAGAGGAGTTGGCAGGCTCCTACTCACAGCCATGGGTGAGAGGGAGGAACGGCAGAGGCAGGGGACAATCAGGTGGGTGGCTCCTGGTCCCCACCCAGCTGATTCTTGTTGGGGACCTGGGGCATATTCTGTGTTAAATTCAAAGTGCCCTCTGCAGAACCAGGTACCCCCAAACTGTGTACCCCTCAGTACAGCTGAGGGGCAGCTCCACGTGTGCCCGCCTCCTACCAATTGACTTTACTCCTTTGTGGGTCACTGCCCCAGAGTCGGTGCCCCTTCATGGGACTCTCTCGGGGTGGGTGCTGTGTGGGTTACTCCCCATTGTTCTGAGCTGTCTCCTCCAAGGCGAGGCAGGTTCTTGGGTTCAGTGGCATTGTTAGGAGCCAGCAGCCTGGGCCTGCATCTGGGAGGATAGCTGGGAACCCTTGGGACCCGACTGTTGACTGCTTGTTCTGGAAACAACCATTTGTAGCACTTGCTCATTGTGGGAAAGTTGGGGTCTGCCATCACGGAGGGGCTATCTAACCATTCTCAAGACTGCCAACCCACCGTAGTCCAGCATCAGCTCAGTGCCTTGCTCTCGGGACCCCCGTGAAAAAGTGCTGACGTAATCGCAGAAGCACCTACAGAAAAGAGGGCAAGCCCCTAGCAGGCTGGCCAACTGGCTCATTCCTTTCCTCTGTGCACCCAGGCCATTCAGAGACCCTGAAAAATATATCAGAAGATAAAAGCGCCTTCAAGTATGTGAGTAGGGCTCTTGGATACCACACACTGCTGTCCTCGCTCCACCTACTCACAGTTCAGAGCACCTGGCAGGGTAGCCTCGACTGGGGGTCGTCCTCCAGACCACTCCATCCATACCCGTACGCCCTCCCTTCCTCCACCTGTTCTCAGGGGCCTAAGTCTGCCCCTAACCCCACCATTGTGTAACTGGCTGCCCAGGGGAACAATCAGATCCTCTCTGCGTCTCTTGTGGTTTTCAAGCGCAGGGCAGGTGAAAGGCCAAGGATGATGGACCGGGAGGTTTGAGGGGGGATGAAGGTGCTACAAGCTAGGGTGTCAGCAGGACAGGCTGTCGGGAGGAGCGGCGGCTGTGACATTCCTGGACAAGCCCTGCACTGTGTGTGTGGTCAGATGCCTGCGGCCCAGGGCCCTGTGAGGGTCTCCATCCCCACCCCCTGACGAAGACTTCCTAAGCTTGCTCATCTCATGGTCCCCCAGCATGGCAGCTGCCCGGCTGAGTCCCATACCAGGTCCTGGCCACCTCTCACAGCCGCCAGTCCTGCCCTCTCCCCTGCTCCAGAGCTCCAGACACCCGCCTCCCAGCCCTTGTGTGAGATGTTGATGACTGCCCTCCCTCTCTTCCCCAGAGGAACTCTACACACCCAGACTTCCAGGCCCCGCCACCTCCAAGCCTGCCCATGCTACTTCCTGGCCTAGAACGGCCTTTGCAGCCCTCCCCTTCCCCCCACCCCAGGACCCACGGAAAAGTCACTTGCCCAAGGCTGAGCCTGCAGCAGGAAAGCAGGGCCCAGTCTCCCTGCTACTGGGCTGCAGCCTCCACACTGTCCAGTCATCCTTGGGCAGCGGCCTAGCCAGCTGGGTGCAGGCTGAAGCTGGGACGGTCCCATAAGCCTCCAGGGGTTCTCATGAGGCCTTAACAGACTAGTGGGGTGGGATCTCCTGGACCCCCCAGCTGGAGAATGGCTTATGACTCTGGCTGAACTTTGCTCCCTGGAGGCCCTAACCTACCCCTTCTCTGGGACTGGGACCAGGGTTCCCACAATTCCTGGCTGACTTCTGCAGACCCCTGCCAAGGGAGCTCACAGTGCCTGTCTTGAACTTGGAGGCCTGGGCTGGCCTGAGGGGAGTACAGCCATCTCCAGAACCCCCCACCCCATCCCCTGCTGCTACCAGCAAGGGCCTCCAAGGGAAAAAGACCCCCTCCCCATAAAGGCAGGGGCCCTTGATGAGGCCTGGGGAGGGACACAGGAGAGGGAGATAGACTGTGTGCATGTGTGGGGGTGTGGGGTCCTCCACAGGCAAGTCGGACTGCAGGGCCAGTAGTGGACAAAATGGCCTCAGTTCCTCCAGGACAACTGGGAATGTCAAGGGTGAGAGGCAGCACGGTGGTGGCCTTGGCGGGAGAGGACTTTCCCAGGGCCCGATCATCCCAATCCGCGCAGGCGGGCAGGCGGGTTTATGAAGAGAAAGAAAATATCAAGAAGATGCGCTTATCTCCAGGGAGGGAGTCACAGGCAGCCTTGAGAAGCCTGACTCAGAGGCGGAGGCGCAGGATGGGGCTGTGGGGCCAAGGCTTTACTCCTTACCTCCCTCCTCCAGCTGGGCTGAGGGCTGGCCAAGCCTGCCGGCACCCACAGCTGGTCTCAGCACTCCCAGGCCCAGACACTGGACACCCCAGGACCAGACCCCAGGGGTGTTCTGTGGGGCAGCCAGGCCACAGGAGCCTAGCCATGGTCACACTGGCCAAACCCCCAGCAGCCTCTCCCCAAATCCTGCTGATGCCCACCCCTTCCCCACGAGGGGCCCACACCTGGTTTTCAGTCCTCACTGTCTGAGCAACCATGCCCAGGCTCAGCAAATGAATTCAGGGTTCCTCGTTACATGTGATATTTAGAAAAACTAGGAGCATATCTTAGCACGACATTCCACAAGCAGTACGGAGGGACTGTTTCATGAATCACACTCCACTAGGAAATTATTGTGATGATGAATGTTTTACCTGGTGGCTCCGTATGTGCTCCGTGTGACGGCCCTTACAGCTTAGCGTCCTGCCTGCCACCATCCCACCGTGTGTAACCCTGTGTTACGTTGCATTATGTTGTTTTATAATTCTTATTAAGTGAAATGTTACCGGCTGTAAAATGAACAGGCTTCAGGACACACTGTGGGGGTTTTTGACAAATGCACACACGTGTAAACACTGCTCAGTCCAGTCCCGGGGCTGAGCCTGCTCTCTGGATGCCATGTGAACGCTCATGCTTGTTGGAAACTTGCTCAGAATGACCTTAGCATTCCTGCCTGAGCTGAGGTGATGGGCAGTTCTGTTTTTGCTGAGAAGGTCCTTGGTCTGAAGGAACTCACTGTGGATGACCTCTAGGGTGCTCAGAGTGTGAACATTGCTGCCCAAGTTCTGGGTCAGCACCCAGGACTGAGTGACCAGTCGGTCACAAGACAGTCCCGTCTCCAGAGGGTGACCTTCCTAATGCTTGCTTCCTTTCACAGATGGGGAAACTGAGGCTGGGACAGTGTCCAGCACAGCTGACAGTGAGCGATGTTCCCCTGGCTGGGTCACTGAGACTGCTGCCCAGCGGCCACCCTCACTGATGAAGTTAATGGTGGGCTGTTTTCTGGGCCGGAACTGCGCTAGTCACTGAGACTGCTGCCCAGCGGCCACCCCCACCCCGGGAATGGAGCAAGCAGGCCAGCCTGAAGGCCACCCCTTATCGCCGCCTCCCGGCCTCCACCAGGCCTGGTGCCAAACAGGGCTTACAAGGGCACTTTCTGCCTTGGAGGGGGGCATCCTGCCTGACCAGAACCTTGGCATTTGTCTCCTGTAGTCATCCTCAGCCCCACTAGTATGAGGGGGTCCAAGCACTGAACCCCAACTCCGTGTAGGATGACCCCACATGGGCTTTGTGTCTGAATGTCCCACTCTGCATCCAGCCCTTTGGTCCCGGTGTGCAGGGCGGGTGGTGGTCCTGAGTGTGGTCCCTACTGCCTCTGTCCCCGCCTCCTTCAGGTCTCCCTGCCACTAACCAGAAAACAAACCTAAGGAGGGGCTGAGTCTCCCGGAGCACAGTGGGCTTAGGGCCTTCTCCTGAAGGAGCCCCCGCCCCACCTCATCCCAGAATTTACCAGGCACTGCGGCTCCCTAGGCCTGGACACACACCATGATTGGTGGTCTTATGGCCAGCTGTCCACGGCACTCCAACTGCAACTTCCACCACCCAGGAAGTGTGGAAGGGGGGGGTCTCCTCAAACCTCCCGGATGAGGCCAAGGAGCAGCCACATGGAAACTTTGCACATTCAGTACTGCTGGGTGTTTGCAAGGGAGCCCGTGCCCAGGAGGGGTTTCCAGGAATATGAGGAAGCCCCCCTTTGGCCTCATAAGCCGCCCCCACCTCGGGATCCGTATCTTTCCACCTCTGAGCTTATAAATTGCTTTACAAGTAGCAGGCATTATCCTAAGGAAAACAGAAGCTTAAAACAGAGTGAACCATGTGGTGATGGGTTAGGATCAGCCAGACCTTCTCTCAGGCTCTGTCTCCATCGGTTTGTCCCTCCCCTTCCTCCACAGATGCAGAATGAAGACTATGAACTGGGTGGGGGTAGGCCCAAGGTCAAGCTAAGAGACTCAGGATAGCCTTAGGAGGGGGCAGCTTTAAAAAGGGTGGCTGAGGGAAATGACGGCTTCCTGTGAGGGTCGGCTGGGGATTGGTGGGCAGTACCCCAAGCTCTGGTAGCATAGTGGTTACAAATTGGGCTGCTAACCTTCAGGTCAGCAGTTCGAAACTATCAGCTGTTCTGTGGGAGAAAGATGAGGTTTTCTGCTCCCGTAAAGATTTACAGCGTCGGAAATCCTGTACAGGGTCGCTATGAGTCGGAACCGACTCCACGGCACAGAACAGCAACAACAACCTCAAGTGCTGGAGTCATGGTGTGGCACTGTAGGATAAGCACAGGATTGATAAACACAAGCTCAGTGGTTCAAACCCACCAGCTACTCCTTGGAAACCCTATACAGGGTCGCTCTGAGTTGGAACCAATGTATCAGCACTTAACAACAACATCCCAAGCGATGGTTTCTGGGGAGCGAGGGTCCAGTGTTAAAGGGATGAAGATGAACAAAGGAATGAACCCTCATCTTGGGGAGCCTCCTGGGCCTCGGCTTCCCCTCTCTGTAAAGTGGACTGACCCACTTTCTGCCCTCCCTGGACTGTGAGCCCACATGGGGTGTCCTGTCTGCCTGGCACCCTGCCAGTCTAACTGCACTGGCCACAGTGCCCCTGGTTGGCTGGTGTCTAGGTCACTTCAGCCCTCCTGCCCTCTGACCCTGACCTTGAAGACGTGCCACCGAGTCCAGTCAGGATCTGGCTACTTCCAAGCCTTGGGTCTGTGGGAAGGGGGGAGGCTCTGAAGAACGACAGAGTCTGGTTGGGGGGGGGTCCTCTGCTGAGGCCATAAGCACCAGGTCCCTGGACCTCTGGTTCTGGGCCCTCTCTCTTTAGGTTCAGGGATTTGGATCATCCAGTATAATGCACTGGACTGAAAGGTTGGTTTGAACTACTGGTCGGTGGTTCGAAGTCACCAGCCTCACCTTGGAAACCCTATACAGGGTCGCTATGAGTCAGAATGATACTTAACAACATGGACCCCTTTCTGGGATCACAGGGCCTCTGGAGTGGGGAGGGGTGGCCTGGCTCCTTCCTTGCAGGGTCCTTCTTTGAGCCTTATCCTCCTTTCCTGTAAGATGGACCCTGAAGCTCCCTGGAATGGGCAGGGCAGGCTCTCAGGTGCACCCCTACACTAGGGAGCTCCGGCAATTGCGATAATCTACCCACTAATCCTGGGGTGGCACTGTGGGTTAATGCCCCAGACTGCAAAGTGTTTGAACTCTAAGGAAGGCGGTTCAAGCTCACCAGCTGCGCCTTGGAAACCTTTACAGGATCCGATGGGTCAGAATTGACTCCACAGCACTTGACAGAGGGCAGAGGCCCACCCGTATTGCCGGCCACTCCAGGTCTTGATGCTTGGCCTCAGGACGGCAGTGGGAGACCAGAAGGGTGCGAATGATGGGCCCAGGGGTGGAAGCTCACCCACAGTGTCCCAGCAACTCCCACACCCCTACAGGGCTCACCAAACACCAAGGAACCACAGAACTGTGTCTCTGTCTGCACGTGGGGCCCTTGGTCTTGGTCTGCAGACCCCAGGAGCCCTCTTCCCAGGCCTGGCCCAACCTTCTAACCCTCCAACACCAAAGTCCCTGTCACTCCTCCCCATCTGGGGCCCTGTAACCCAGGAAGGCCTGTCTGGGTTCATACTGCAGACCAGTGACCCAGGGGCCAGGACTCAGAGGTCCTGCGGTGGAGGGGGGGTAGTGTGCGGAGTGCTTGGGATGTGGAGGCCTCTTGGCCTGGGTACCTGGCAGAATCGGGCAGGGGGCTGGGGAGTAGGGTGGTAGCCACGGTTTGAGGCTGAGGGAGTTGCCGGAGGCGCCGCTATCTCGGCTTTCAGGGCTGGAGAGGCCCCTCCCAGGACGCGATCTTCTCCCTGCGGCGTGTTCCGGGCCCCTGACGCAAGCAGAGGCTCTTCGGGAGATAAGTGTCGGGAGGTACCGGGCCAGGCCGCCCCACCAGGATCCCAGGCACCCCGGCTCTGCCCCGCCCGCCCCGAGCCTCGTCTGAGCAGGCTTTGTGTCTCAATCTCGCAGGTGCGGGGGTGGGACGGGGCCCTTGGCACTAGACCGCGGATGACCGCATGTGACCGCTGCCGCGTGCGGGATCGCCAAGGTCTTCTCAGCGCATAAAAGGGTGCGCGCTGGGCGGCAGCAGGCAGAGCGCGGCGGCGGCGACGGCAGTGAGCTTTCTCCCGCTTCGATCGACTCTGCCGCCCAGGACCCGCTGGGGGCTACACCCGGTAAGGCGAGGCCGGCTGCTTCCCCGCCTGGCGGGGTGACCGGCCACCCCTTCCCCGCCCCTCCTTATCCCACAGGATGCACTGACTCCGGCGGCAGCGGCGACACGTCTGTCCCCCCGACAACTTCTCGCAGAACCGGCTCGTCGTACCTTTTTCCTATGCATATACTTCTTTGAGGATGTGGCCTAAAGAGGTATAGAGCATGGGAAAATGGGGCGACGGGGTCCTCCTCGCTCCGACTCCAGAGACCCGAGACCCTGCCCACTGACCTCGCCGTTCTCCTCCCCGCGGTTGGCCGAGGGCCTTCCAAGCTTCCTTTCTGGGCCCGAAGGGATCAACCTTGTGGGAAAAGAGGGTTCCTCTGGGACACTGCAGAACCCACATCGCGGGAGTGGCGCGCTGCAGAGGGGTCCGCCCGGTCCAACCCCTGCAATGCTGTGGAATGGAGTCGGGGTGGGGGCCTGGTGGGCGATGGAAGATGCAGGAACGGGGATGCCTGGGGAGGGGGCGCGAGGGTGGGGAAGGTGACTTTTCTCTGGAAATTTCCTTTCCAGGACACAAACTGGGCTCGTGCATGAGCCTCTTTGCACAGGAGTGCGTGGAGGGGACCAGTAAGCAGAGCCGAGTCCTCAACAGCCTTTTGTGTAATTTTATAATTATGAGCATGTACTGATTTTCTAATCATTAGTGTCAATAAAGCAAATTTTATTTAAACTTTCTCATTGTGTGCCATCGCCTTGATGAAGATGAATAAATGCAGAAGGCTGCTGGTGGCATTCTTTCCTTAGCATCGATAAGGGCAGGACACACTGGGCTAGCCAATTAGCTGGGGGGGTGGGGGAGGTCCTAAATTCAGGACTCACAAACACGAAGGGAAAACAATAGTTTCCCGATTCCCCACCCCTTTCTGAGGAACAGGTCATGGGATGGGGTGAGAGACACATTGGGGCCCTCGGCCACTCTTGGAGTCCAGGTACAGTGCCTGGGAAGGGTCTAGGTGAGGAGTTTCTCAGCCCCGGCCTCTCCACCTGTTGGTCCCGGGGCTGGGACCTCTCAGATTGACCCAAGCTGCTGGTAAAGTGGGAGCTGAGTCTTGAACCCACTGGAGTAGAAACACGGCAGTGGCAGCCCTTGTGAAGCAGCCAGCTGCTGCAATGCGTGGTGGGCTGTTACTTCGTCCCAGGAAACAAGAAGAGTCAGGGAGACACCTGCCCCCACCAAGCTCAGCCTCAGTGGCCTGGCCAGCAGCACCACCCTCCTCCTCACCCTCCTCCGGCTCTTCTAGGAACTGCCCGGGAAACAAATGGAGTCATTAGCGCTTTGCCAATAGGCGCCCTTTATCAGCAGCCCACCCGTCGGGCTTGGCCAGGCTGTCTCTCCCCTAATCTCATCTGATAGTCTCTTTCAAAGGGTCATGAGGCCTCCCTGTGGGGGGTAGGGGGTAGGGCAGGGAGATGGGCCAGGTTGAGTGGTGGGGGCTGGGGGCTGCTGGGTCAGAGCGTAGACCATGTGGGACACCCCGACCTACACAGTCCACCCTGCTGTTCTAGACGCAAACTCCCCATCAGAAACTGAAGTCTCAATTAGCACCAATGAAGGCGCTGCTGGTAGCGGGCTGTGGTGCTGCTCCGACTCCGGGCACGGACAGATAAGAGAGCAGAAGGGTGTCTCCAGCTTACCTGGTGGTCACGTGGCCAACAGCAGCTGCAGGTACAGCTCCTGGGCCAGGTGAGGCCCCACGGCATCACTTCCGTGCCCCATCACTGGGTCATGTGTCCATGGCCCGCAGCAGCTTCATGACCTCACTGTGGGGTTGGATAGGAAGCTCCTTGGGCAGAGAAGTGATGGTAACTTTGTTCACTGTTGGTAGTTCCAACTCATAGGGACTCAATGTACACAGAACAAAACACTGCCTAGTCCCGGTGCCATCTTCAAAATGTTTCCGCTGAAGCCCATTGCTACTGCCCTTTGAATAGCCTATGGGTGGCTCTAACAATTTTCTCCATTTACAAGCTTTCTGTTTCAGAGACTAGAATTCCAGTCACCGGCTCTAGGGGAGGGCTCTTTCCCTGATGGCTGGAGGGAATGGCCTTTTCCTTGGGGGTCTTCCACACCTCTGCTTAACATGCTCCTTTTATAAATATCTGAAGACATTGACTCAAAACCACCCTAAACTAACCCTGCCTCATCAACATGACAAAGAAGCACACCAGTGGGATTATAACTATAGGAATGTTGTTAAATGCCATCAAGTGGGTTCTGATCCACAGCAACCCTGTATAGGATTTCCAAGGAGTGGCTGGTAAGCTTGAACCACTGACCTTTTGGTTAAAACTGACTTTGCAGTCCAGTGCATTAACACACAGCATCACACCAGGAGTCCAACTGTAGGCGTTGTTGTTATTATGTGCTGTAGAAACAGTTCTGACTCGGGATTTCCAAGGAGCACCAGGTGAGCTTGAGCCGCTGATCTTGCACTTCAAACAGACCTTGAGGTCAAATGCTTATCCTATGGCCCCACACCAGGATTCCTACAGGCATGGTGATGGTGGTGGTGTGTGTGGAGTTGGTTCTGATTCACAGTGGTCCTGTACAAGGTTTCTGAAGCTGCAAATCTTTACGGGAGCAGAACGCCTAATTTTTCTCCTGCACAACAGCTGGTAGTTTCTAGCTGACCTTGAGGTTAGCAGCCCAATTAGTAACCACTATACTACCAGAGCTCCTCCCTATAGGCATGTGGTTGTTAAGTGCCATTGAGTCGATTCCAACTCATAGCGACCCTTTAGGAGCAGCTGGTGAGCTTGAACCACCAACCTTGCAGTTCAATTGACTTTATAATTTGCCGCATTAGCCCACAGCACCACACCAGGACTCCACAGGAGGTAGGATTTTCTGGGGGGGGACATACAATTCAACCAATAAGACAAGTGGGGTGGTGACTGTCCAGACCCTGGGTTGTTTAGTGGGGTCCCACCTGGCCACATGAGCATCCAGACATAAGCAGCTGCCAGTAAATCCCAGCCAGGGAGCTGGAGAGGGAAAGAGGACAAGGTTGGGGAGGGTAGAGTCCAGGAGTTAAGGGTATTGGGCATTCCTTCCCACCTTATACCTGGTGATCTGCAAATAACCCGAGGACAAGGGATGAGAATCTTGCTGATTCGGTGCCAGGCACAGTGGTTAGCAGAGGTCCAGACGCTACATCCAGCGTCCAGCTCCCAGGGACCCCCCCACCCCCCACCCCTGGTTGTAAGACGCAGGGAGGCTGAGCTGCTGGTCTACAGGAGCTGTTGGGAAGTGTAGGCACCGTACTCATGTTTGTTCATTTCCACTCTACTTAGGGGTAGGGCGGGGGAGTTCATTGGTGGCCTGCGAAGGGCTGGGGGAAACCAGTGCCTTCCAGTCCTGTCCCAACAGAGAGAGCTGCCTGATGGTTAATGGACACTTGGAATATTGACCAGACAGTTCCCAGGAGAATGGACATCTGTCTGTGAGCTCAACACCCAACAACTGGTTCCCCCCAAATGGCGCCTGAAGAGGGTCTGCCACCCACCCACTCAAACCTTCTCCCAGAAAGGCAGTGTGCGTGGACTGACTGAACCTCTTACTCAAAGCCTAGAATTGTCTCCTCTCGGACCAGTTTCCATTCCAGTGGTCATCTATCATGTAAGGCCCAAAGCAGTCACTGAGCTGGCAGGGACCTTAAATAGGGTGCAGCTTCTGTGGACAGGGACCAAGAGCTCAGATGGAAAACACTTCAGCTATAGCCTTGCCCAGTCATCACCAGTGATGTAGCGGGCAGCTGCAAACCCCATGGACACCTAGATAACCAATCATCCAGCCAGTGACCGAGGCCCCCCGGAAGCCCCACTCGGCACCTCAACATTGTATTATAAACTCACACACTTGGTATACCACTTCTAACACACAGAAGTCTGGTGGAAATAAACCTTCAAAAAGAATCACACCTTTATTTCTGGTGGGAGATCTGGTCAGCAACAAGTGGTACTAGGCTTAAGGGGACACCCCGCTGGCTTCCTCACCAGATTCATTTGGGCTGACCCCCCAGTGTGCCTTGTGGACAAGAGGTGTCCATGCCCGGTTTGCAGATGCCAGTTCCGTCAGGCGCCGACTACATTGGCCATACTTGTCAACACATCTAGACTGTCTGTAGGAAGGCTCCCACACCTGTACCCATTTTGTTGTAGAGCTTGGAGGCCTCCTGGGAGGGAGGGCATCGGGTCCACCTGCAGGGAAATGCAGACTAGCAGGGTCTTGAGGAGGGATCAAGCACCATTTCCAGCACAAGCAGGCCTCTAGGGCACGAGGCAGACATGTCTGCTACACCAAGCTTTAACTTTCCGGAGGGCACCTAGTGTTTCCTTCGTTTCCAGACGTGGCTCCCTTACAAAAGTACCCACTTTTTCCAATACCTTTTATTGAATAAATTATCCCTTTACTATATAAAACCCCACACACATAACATGTTCATTCCGGGCTTTGTTTACTCCCTAAACAGACCCACTGGAAAACTCTGAGGATCTTGAGGTGTGTCAGCGTGAGGACAAAATGCCCAGAGTGCCCGCTGCAGCCTGGATGACGTGGATAGCTAACGTCTCTCCCAGGCAATGGGGGGCTTTGCACATACCTCCTGGGCAGGGGCAGCAACGTCCACCTGCCCCCATTGGAGCTTTCTGGGCTTCCACTCTCCACAAAAGGCAGCCCGATTCTCAGGGAGAGCACACAGGCCCCAGGGCCCCCTGGAGGAGGCCAGTGAATACACCTGATCCTCCAGTTCAGGGAGAAAGCATGCCAGAGGCTGTCTGCTGCAGACATCCCATGCTGAGGACAACACAGCTTGCTCCATGGGGCAGGAGCCCCAGAAGGCGGCAGGAGGTAAGACCAGAGCCTGGGGTGCGGGCAGGAGTGCGCCAGGGTAGAGCAGCTGCAGGCCACTGCCCAGGACAGGAGATGGTGGACACATGGTCAGGGGTGTGTAGAGGGGTCCTACGAAGGGAGCACTGAGTTGTGAGTCTTGCATTTGGCGTTTATGTCTCATTCTTCGATTCTGAAACCAGGTTTTTATCTGTGAGAACAAACCAAGTAGATGTGAGAACAGACAGCCCCAGTCCACCTGTGCCCTCGCTCTGAGTTGACACACCTAGGGGTCCACTCACCTGCACCTCTGTGAGACACATCTCTTTGGCCAGTTTCTTCCGCTCCTGGGGGCCCAGGTACTGGTGAAGCTGGAAGGCACTCTCCAGGGTCCTGACCTGTGCTGCGGTAAAGGCTGTGCGCACCCGGGGGGCCCGGCAGGGGTCTGGCTCCTTGCTTAGTCCTGGGGGAGGAAGGGGTTGAGAGTCCACTCACCTGGACACATACTCTGAGCTTCAGGGTTACTTAGTCAGATAGACAGACCTAGTGTCCTGAAGCAGACCCCCGCCCCCCAACCCCTCACTCCACCATCCAATCTCCTGTTCAGTCTGGGCTCAAGGGTGAAAGGGGTCCAGAGGACACCCAACAGGTGCCTTTTGAGGGGAGGAGTGGTCTGGCCAAGCCTAGCAGTCCTGTTACTATCCTACCACCCAACAGCGTAGTGGCTACGAATTGGGCTGATAACCTCGGGGTTGGCAGTTCGAAACTACCAGCTGTTCCACGGGAGAAAGATGAAGCTTTCTGCTCCCATAAAGATTTACAGCCTCGGAAACCCTGTGCAGGGTCACTATGACTCGGAACCAACTCTCTGGTACTTAACAACAACAATGCTCCCTGGGACCAGCCATCCTCACCCAAACCCCTCCAGAAAGCAGTTTCTTTTGCCTGCAGCCAAGAAACCAGAAGTTGAAGAGATGGGATAGTAGGAGGGGTTTTGGGAGGAGTGTCCTTGTAAAGACTTGGGGGTCTTAGAGAACAGAGAGGTGACCAGCCTTCACATGGGCTTGTTCACATTTAGATTTATTCAAGTGCCAAGGTTAGCACCCGCTAACCCCACACCTTGCAAGCCTCTGCTTTCTAAATCTTTAAGATTAAGACATGGAGGACAGGTCTAAGCTCCCAACAAGTGGTTCCGTGCAATTACAGGAAGAGTATCCACTATCCACAAGGTCAACACACAACACAAGTCTGATCAAAGTGTGTCAATTGGCTGTTCTGGGGGAAGCAGATTCTAATGCTCACTGTTCTGGAAGCAAAAAAAAAAAGTTGGAGCAGCTATGGGAAAGGATTCTGACAGTGGGTAACTGGCTGGCTTATTTAAGGAGAGGGTGTTACTGGTGGTGGTAGGGGGTTGGAATTCAATATTTCACCTCACGCAAGTATAAAATTATTTCAAGAGAATCACTCAAACTTATAGAGATGCATAGCTACCAACCCCACAATAGACCAGGTTGGACTTTAACCCTAAAGGTAATGAACCAGATCCCAATGGATTAGCAGACAAACTGACTGGACAAAGGGTTAGAGTTAGATAAATTTGGCGGAGAAGCCAGGTCCAGCCTCCAGGAGCAGCTCCCCACTGACCTCTCTGAAAATGGCAGGATGGATGCAGGGTCAACTAAGAAATGAGCTCAAATCATCGTAGAGGACAAGGATGACCCCTTAGGTACTGGCCTGGACTCACATTCTTCCCCAGTGACATGGGGCTCTAGAGCTCACTGGAACTTGAAATCCACACACACACAGAGGATAGAAGCACTGTGCTGGACACAGAGTCCTGGGAGACAAGCTGCTCTCGGGTGCTGTAATACCGACACCGGCATGACCATGGACAGCAGGGTCAACATCACTGGAGTGGGTGGGGACGGAGGAAGCATTAACTCCCAAGGGCCCTCACTGGAGCCCTGTAAGAGGTGCCCTAGAGGTCGAGGTGTGTGCATGCCTACCTGGCCTTCCGAGAACCTCAACTCCCAAACCAATCCGGGAAGGGCCCTCCCCTTCAAGACCTACCAGCCATAAGTGTCCCTTGCACAGGCAGATCTGAGGTCTTAGCCCGGCGGATGGCCACGTTCTGAGGGGGCTCCTCTCCGTTGGACGCCCAGGTGGGGGCAGTTAGACCCCTCCCAGTGACTTCGGTGGACCTGGAGGTGTGAGTTGGTCCGGAGCAGCTGCTTTGGGAGAGCCAGTCCACGGAGCTGAAGCTGGATCTCGGCTTGTGGCCCTCAAGCAAGTTGGAGGAGGGAGGCATGGCCGCTGGGCAGAGGCTACACTGAGGGTCAGGAGACCAGTAGAGGGCCTCCAGAAAGCCAAAGAGTCACACAGAATAACGGAAGATGGTCAGACAGGCCACACTGAGGATCCGAAAAGGGCAGGATGGTAGAGTCCGGCTGGGTACAGAATCCACCTGGGATGGGTCAGGGGGTCACAGAAAATGCGAAGGAGGCTAGACACATAGGCCGGAGGGCACAAGATCAGCCTGGGGCCGAGGAGGGCCGGGCTGAGTTTATAAACTGGGTGGGGGAGGCGGGAGAAGCGCAGGTTTGCCCTGGAGGCTGCAAATCCCCTAGATAAGTAGCGCCTAATTGCCTTCATTGAAAAGTACAAAAGGGGCAGTTCACACATTCCTCGGCTCCAAGATGTCTGGGGGAGGGCGGGGCAGCGGCGGCCAGTGGAGCGCCTGTTACCTCCTTTCATCTGCCCTAGCTCAGAGGAGGTGTAGAGTGGCCGCCTCCCACCCCGCCAGCCCAGCCCCGATAGCCCGATGGGGGGCTCTGCAGTGGTGGGCCGCAGGTTTGCTTCTCCAGCCCCCTACTGGTGGAGAAGAGACGACGAACGTTTCAGTTGGGATGAGCATGCCCAGCGCTGTCCGCTCGTCGGCTGTCCAGCTGGAGACGGCCCTTCCTCGGCGCCAAATCGCGCCGACGGGCCCCTCCACTGGAGCTGACACGGGGCCATTGGCGTCGCCTCCGGACTCACCACGCCAGCGCGGCCAGGTGGGGCAGTTAGCGCAGACCGTGAGAATACTTGTGAGGTTTCGGACGCCCCTGTGCGTCATCCCACCCTACCACCAACGGCTGTTTCACTTGGAACTGCGTCCCCGTTCCAAGCGCCGCAGTGGCCTAAGGAACGTGTCCGCCCCGGAGAGGCGACGACGCAACCAACGGGGCCCAGCGCGGTAGGCGCCCCAATTCCTCCCGTCCTACCGCTCACCGGCTTCTCGAGGCCCGTTGGTGCCCCCAGCCTATGCCGGGCGTTTCCTTGTCGGAGCGCGTCTGTCGCTCCCCGACGAGGGCAACACTGGTTCAGTGACCTTGTTGTCCGGCGCGCCGGCACCAGCTTCGTTGGGCACCAACAGCTCTTCTGTGCCCACCGCTGGCAAAGGCTCGTGGGACCAGGGAGGGGGGAAGAGAAGCAGATCTGGGAGCCTGCCCCCGGAGCCTGCAGGGAATCGGTCGGAAGTCCTCGGCCCTCGGTGTCACTGCTTTGGCAGGAGGTCTACGGCAGGCTAGGGAGGATGTTATGGAGGGCTCGAAGGCTCCGGAGGTCGTAAACCAAACCCACTGTCGTAGAATGTGGATTCCGACTCACAGCGACCCGGTGTGACAGAGAACGGCCTCTGAGGGTTTTCAAGACAGGAATCACTGTGGGCGCCGAATGTCACAGCTTGCTTCGAGGAGCAGCTAGTAGGTTTGAACTGCAAACTTCTCGGTTAGTAGTCAAGCGCTTTAACCGCTATGCCTCCAAGGCGCCTTCTGGGGACAATACCTCCCATGATCGCCCAGTGTGCAGAAAACATGCACCCGTTAAAGGAACCCTTGTTGGAAATGTTTGCCCTTTGTGTTCTTAACTTACGAAATGATAGTAACATTACAGTCTTTGTGAAACTTGGATTTAGTACTTTTCATTTTTCCTTTAGGGTCTTTTCAGCGTTGTCATTCCCAGCTCAGGCTCTCTAGGCAACCTGCACCCTGCCCTGAATTTGTTACGGTTAAGTGCTGACTCATAGTGACCATGTATAAGGTTTACCAGGAGCAACTGGTGCGTTTGAACCGCCAATCTTGTTGTCCAGTGTTTACAGTCCAGGGTTTAAAATCTGCCCAAAGGTCCCACCCCAGTCTGCCCTGAGGACCCTGAGCATCCTCCCAGCAGTGTTCTGGGATTACAGCCCCTCCCCTTCTCTGTTGGCGTAATGGTTACGAATGGGGCTGCTAGCCTAAAGGTAGGCAGTTCGAAACTACCAGCGTTTCTGCAGGAGACAGATGAGGTGGTCTGCTCCCATAAAGATTTACAGCCTCGGAAACCCTTTGGAGGGTCACTATGAGTGGGGACCGACTCCATGGGGTACTTAACAACAACAACTCCTCCTACAAAATGCTGACAGCTGCTTGTCAGTACATCCTGGTGACTGAATTTCACACATGCTTGAGGCTCCACAGAGCCCTGACCCTACTGGGTGCCAGCACCTACAGAGGCTACCTGGGTCTGCAGATATCTGTTCAAGATTTGGAGGCAAACCCCTGCCCTCAACACAATTCTGAAGCCAAACTTTCCACACAAATCTGTACTTCCAGGGGTCCCGCCCTCCTTCCTTCCAGATGCTTCCAGGAGGCCTTGCCTGAGCCCGGTAACCTCTGTGAGGTGGGTCACCATCGGGGCTCCCACCCTAGGCCAGGCCCCTCGGCCCTGTTTCCCTCACATTTCTTCTCCCATGTCTCCACTCTTGGTTCCAGGCCTTCCTAACTTAATCTGAGTTTGGGTTTTGTAGGGGTAGGAAATGTGGGGAGGACCCCAGCCCAGCTGGACAGACAAGGAAGAAGCGGCTTGGTGGGCTGGAGGGTCTTGGATTCGTAAGGGAGAGTAGGATGTGGTAGAGTCTCAGACTGGACCACAGGGACCCCTGAGATGACTTGTTTGGGTGCCTGCAGGCCCAGGCTCTTGTGGAAGGGAAGCCACAGGAACCAGCCCTACCTTTGACCCCATCAGACCACACCTCCACCCTCCCAACCTGAACGAATCCTCCAGGTCCCGGGGATGGAGGAGGGGACAGGGGTTGGTCTAAGAAAACGGGAAATCCTACCAGCTGACAGGCTGCAGGATGGTTTCGGGCAGGAAGGCCCCATCTCGCATGCCCAAAGTTCGAATCCATGTCCAAGATTAAACAGGACACTTCAAATACACCCCAGAAGCTGCATTTAGCGCCCCCCCCCCCCCCGAGAGCTCTCTGGGTCAGCAAGGATATGGAAATATTCAAAATATCAAAACGTTTATTAGTAAGACTTTATATAAAAGATAATAGCACAGTGAGAGAGGCTGGTGCAAGAAAAGTGCTACTTCAGGCAGATAAACGAGTTCTGGTGCCTGGTGCAAACACTAAGCATTCGGCTGGTAACTGGAAGGTCGGATGTTTGAGTCATCGAGAGGCACCTCAGAAGAAAGGCATAGCAATCTAAAAAACAGTCAGCCTTTGAAAGTCCAATGAAACGCATGTCTACGCACAGGCTGCCAGGTACGTCTGCTTAGAACTTTATTATTTTTAGTCCGAGTCCTGGGAGACCCCACAGCTAGCTGGAGCCCTATCGGTTAGCGTTAAAAATGTGGGCAGCACTCCGACCTGCGGATTTCTGGATTCGGTTACTCTCATCTGAGTCCTCTCTGCCCATTGGACTTGAGGGAGGGGGGAGACCTGAAGTTCAGTCTCAGGGTGGGCCATTATTCGTAAAGCAGTGACGAGCACTCTACTACTGAGATTATTATTATGTAGATGCAATCCCTCCATTCCCAAGGAGCCATTTCGGAAATCTCCATATCCCGCCCCAAGCCTCCCCAGGGGCCCGGAACTCTGAGTTTGAGGATGCTCCGGCAGTTCTAAGGCCGGACTTAGCCCCGGTTATCTCCGGTAACACTTTTGTCTTGGTCGAGGTGAGGGCTTTGGGAAGACCTAGGCCAACTGAACCACCCACTTACTTCTCCAGGCTCCTCCCCACTAGCAGATCCAGCTTCTGCTTTCGCGAGGTTCCCGCGGGATAGTATTAACCCGGAACGCTGAGACCCCCATCTAGTAGCCTAGGGCCTGCTGTATGTCGCCCTTCCCTCCAGAGACCAACCACATTGGATAGACCCAGCTTTAGCCATTCTCCGCCCGCCCCCCGCGCTCCCCCCTCCCACGGGCTTGAAGACATTTTCACCTTGCATTAACCTTCCCCAGAGTCCGGACGCCAGGACCTCCCCGCCCTCCCCGCAGGGGTCTTTCCGGCCAGGTTGCAGATCTGCACAAGGAACAGGCGCACGTGGGAAAACAAACTTTTATTGAAAGCATTAGGCTTACACAGGAGTTCTAGTGCTTTACTCCCGGCGGCCCGTTAGAAGGCCCCTCTCGGCGGAGGCGTTTCCCAGGATGAAACCCACAGCCAGAGACACGGTCTGGTCGAAAGAACCGCGCAGCTGCTCCACGTGCTGGTTCAGGATCAGCAGCTGCTCGCGCAGTGGGCCCAGGGTGGCCGCAATGTGACCCAGGTGCCCCAGGGTCTCCAGGAGGGCCTCGTTCAGTGACGAGGCGGCGCGAGGTGGCACGCGCTCCCCGGGGCGGCCGGGCTGCGGCCCTGGGTGTTCCTCAGTGGGGCTAGGTGTCGGCGACGGGGTGCAAGGTGGGCGCGAGGGGGCGGGCTGCTGAGGGGGATCGGGCAGCCGGTCTGCCCCCTCAACCGCGTGGGCGGAAGCCAAGGAGGCCGCCGGACCGAGTGTCGGCGGCGGCGAGTCGGACGCGCGAGGTGCACCCGCAGACTTCGGCGGGGTTGGGCTGAACCGGAGGGTCCAGGTGTGTTCCGCGTCAGGGTCATGATCGGCCAGCAGCGGCGAGGCATCTGAGAACAGAGTAGGGATGGATCGGCCAGTCCGGCGGCGTGCCCGGCCGCCCCCCAGTTCCCGCTGTCTTACCTGTTTCGTCAGATGCAAGCGTATTGGGGGCCGGGCGGCGGCCGCGCGGAGGACGTCCGGGCCCGGGAGAACGGCGGCGGCCGCGCTTTTGGCCTTGGTCGCCCAGCAATGCCATGAGCTCCCGAATCTGCGCGTCGAAGGGTCCCGGGGGCTGGCCTTCCGCATCTCGGACTTTATCCTTCAGGAACTTGTAGCGGCGGCGGCATTGCGCGGGCGTGCGGCGCACCTGCAGGCGGGCCAGCGCGGCCGACACGCGGCGATAAGTGGGCAGCGCCTGGCGGCGGTCCAGCAGCAGCGAGCGCCACACGGTCGGTTCCAGCAGTGTGGCCAGCAGCAGCTCCGTCTCTCGGGCGCTCCAGGGCGTACGCTGCGCCGACCCGGGGGACACAGGCAACACCGGAGCCGCCAGCGCGCCGGGCGGGGTTGCCGGGGTGTCCCCGGCCGCCCACAGCTCGGAATTGGGGCTGACCGGCGACGACGGCTCGGGAGTCGCGAGCGGGACAGGTGGTAGCGGTCGCCGGGGCCTGAGCAGCATCCCGCAGTCGGGACCAGCGGGGCGCCGGATGGGCGCAAGGCGCGAGATCTGCAGCAGGAGGTGGGCGCCACACGTGCCGCCCACACACGCTCTGACGACCTACGCGGCAGCCCCTCCCGCCCCTGGAGCGGAGTCTACGCGTCCCGCCCACTGCCCGTCCCGCCTCTCGCGCCCCGCCCCCCGCCCCTACGGACCTGGGTCGTCTGAGTCTGTCCAGAGTTCCCCATGCGTCCTTCCAGCCATCCTCGGCCCCCCTCCCCCCTTGTGGCGCCATATCCTAAGCACTGGACCTCAAGGTTGGTTTGAACTGCAAGGTCGGTGGTTCAAACTCATCAGCCGTTTCTTCAGAAACCGACTCGCCGGCACGCAACATTAAACCTAGGTGATGGGTGGGGGAAAGCCTGTGAAAGGAAAGATCACACTCAAATTTTTCAGCCTTTAAAATTAAGTGGGAAGACATGGTTTCATTAATTGTTTTTAAATTTCAGTGAAAATATACACATTAAAACACCATATAACAATGTCCACCTTTACAATTGTTGATGGTAAGTGCCGTCGAGTCGGTTCCGACCCATAGCGGCGGCCCTGTATAGGGTTTCTGAGGAGCACCAGGTGAGCTTGAACCGCCGACCTTTCGGTTCAAGCCGACTTTGCAGTCCAGTGAATTAACCCGCAGCGCCACACTGGGACGCCAATATTTTTATGTTGTGCCTTACCCCTTTCCCTATATCCCACCCTTGTTAAGTGCCCGCCAGTCCATTACAACCCATAGCGACCCTGTGTAGAGTTTCCAAGGAGCAGCTGGTGAGCTTGAACCACTCACTGACTTTACAGTTCAAACGACTTTGCAGTCTGACTCCTTACCCCGCAGCACCACACCAGGACTCCATCTTCCACCTCTGGTAACCATTCATAACCTGGTTTTGCTTGTATCACATATTTAATTTTAGTGAGATCAGACAGTAGTTCTTTGGGATGGACTTCACTCAGCATGATCTTTTCAATGTTCGTCCATGGTGTGGTATCATTAAGACTATTTCTCTTTATTTATTGTTGTTGGTTCCAACCCATAGTCACCCCGTATAGGGTTTCTGACAAGTTGCTGGTGAGCATGAACCTCTGAGGTAATTTTCCATGCTTTCCTTGATGGACACTGGGTTTCCACATTGGGCTGTTGTGCAAGATGCTACAGTGAACGTTGGTATGCGTGTTTCTGTTTGCATTCCTACCTTTGCCATTTCTGGGTGGTGGTGGTACTAAATGCTATTCAGTGTCTTCTACTCATCTGGCCCCTGTGTAGGTTTCCGAGGAGAGCTGGGTTTATGGTAGTATTCATTTGTAACTTTTTCAGGAATGATCAAACTCTCTTCCGCAGCGGCTATACCATTTTACAACCCCACCAGCAATGGAGAAGGGTTCCTTCTCCACAACCTCAACCAACACCTGTAGTTTTTCACTTTTTTCATAATTGTTTAGGAAATGAGGGTGAGGTGATAGCTTCTTGTGGGTCTGTGGTGTGGGCTGTAGGATCAGAGCTGCAAGGTCAGCAGTCCAAGCCCACCAGCTGCTCCTCAGAAACCCTTTACAAGGTCACTGTGAGTCGGAATCCACTCAAAGTGCAATGGTTAAGCACTTGACTATAACTGAAGGTTGATTGTTCGAATCCCCCAGGTACTCTATGGGAGAAAGACCTGATGAGCTACTTCATAAAGATTGCTATGTTGTTGTTAAGTGCCATTGGGTCGGTTCTGACTCATATCAACCCTATGTAGGGTTTCCGAGGAGCAGCTGGTGGGTTTGAACTTCTGACCTGGTGGTTCGCAGTCCAGTGCTGATTCTTCAGCGCCACACCAGGAGTCCGTATTAGCGATTGTTGTTAAGTGGCATGGAGTCAGTTGTAATAGTGACCCTGAAATAGGGCTTCCGAGGAACGGCTGGTGAGTTTGAACTACCAATCTTGCGGTTCAAACTGACCTTTCTGTCCAGCACGTTATCCTGCAGTGCCACACTAGGACTCATAAAGATCACAGCCTAGAAAACCCTATGGGACAATTCAACTCTATCCTGTAGGGACACCAACAGAGTTCATTAAAGTCACACGACAATGATTAATAATGTTGAACCGGAACAACTTTTCATACTCGATTTAAACATCCTCCCTGGTGAACTATCTGTTCAAGTCCTTTGCCCATTTTTTTATTGGGTTGTTTGTCTTTTTGTTGTTGCGTAGTAAAAGTTTGATATATTTGAACATTAGTCTTGCGCTGCTAACCACAGGTCGGTGGATCAAATCCACCAGTGGCTCATTGGGAGAAAGATGAGGTTGTCTGCTCCCATAAAAATTTAGTCTGGTAGAGCGGAGAGTGAAGCGTCCGACTGATAGGAAGTGAGGGGAGATGCACAAGAACACCCATACTTGCAGATTGTACCCACTTGACCTGGCTTCAATGGCTGGATGACCCGAACTTGAGAAAGAAAGAAAAGGGAAAAAAAAAGTGTAATCCGCTACAATTTGATGAATTTGACCTATGCTTGCGGATACAGTAGCACAAAGGAGGGAACAAATCTTTTTTACAGTGAGGATCATTCCCACCCCCTGGGTCGACAAGGATGGGCAA